AAGTTAACACAGAAGTTAGTAAAAATTGGAAGACCAACGTGACAAACATGATATGAAAAGGTTATTGTTTTTTGATCTTACAATACACATTTTTAAATTAGTTGTCATCCCCAAAGTGTGGCCATTGAAAGTCTGCGGATAGCTGACAACAGGGTGGAAGGTTTTTTGATGTGCTGCTCTAGAGTTACTGTTATGAGAATTTTTTAACAAACAATTTCAGTGTCTCTGTGCGTCTCCCAAAAGGTTGTAAGTCTTTTGGATTTAAGAAACGGACAGTCCCAGTCTGCATAGTCAGAGATTTATTAATTGAGAATTCTGTTCCTCACAATGAGGAACACCATTATATACACACACACATTCTTTGTCCCGAGAGACACTCCCTGACTTGGTTTCACAATATTACAACATAACAACAACAATTTCGCTCTTCATCCTCTTTTATTAGCTATTATGATTTCTCAGACTAGACTTCCTCATTCCCCACAACAGTTATGTTCTAACCCCATAATTGAAACCTGCAACCGTTACTCTTTAGCAATGGTACCTAACCTGTTTACCCACTATCTGGAGACAACAGTCTAAGCCTATAATGAAGAACAATTTGCTTTATCACATTATGCAATATTGGTTAATTAGTACATCATAATTAAAATAAGAACATTTCACAATTCTATTTAAGGGTGGAACATTTAGTCATTACTTTTAACATGTATATATTTAATTTCTATATCAGTTACATAGCCCAGCAGACTCACCTAGAGGACAGTGGGATGGACACATGATAGATTTGATAAAAGTCTGGGAGACTTTTACAGGGAGGAGAGAGCATGAGTTTGCATGAGTACAGTAAATCCAATCTAACCATTGGCCCTGGATAATATGCTAGCATCACACAAGCAGACTGCCATAGTGCATCAAGTATACTATTATGAGGGGAGCTTACTTCTCTGTGCTCTGGAGAGATCGCAGGTCTTTGGTCAGAAGGCTCTGGAGGTCCTTGGACCAGTCTGTCTCTGTAGCACCTGGAGAGAGACGGATAGATGTAGTGAGTGTGCTTGAAAGAGAGAGCCCTGAACCCTGACCTACCACTGGCCCAGGGCCTCCTGCCTAACCCTCTAGTCACAGTCTTTCTGACAGGGAGTTGCTCCAGGAGTAGACCGTTGTATGGTGCATAGGGCTTCTCCACTTCTTATATGACTAGTATTAGCTCTTGAAATGGTATAATGCAATGATAAGGAAAAAATTATATCATGACTTACTGACATGGAGTGCTCCATGTTCCTGCTGATAGCAAGCCTCAACCTAGATGCAAATAAATGTCCTGCCTTAGAGCAGGGTTTCCCAAACTCTGTCCTGGGGCCCTCCCTAGGTGCACGCTTTGTTTTTTTCCGCTAGCACTATACAGCTGATTAAAATAAACAAAGCTTGATGATGAGTTGGGTATTTGAATCAGCTGTGTAGTGTTAGGGTAAAAACCAAAACGTACACCCAAGGGGGTCCCCAGGACCAAGTTTGGGAAATCCTGCCTTAAAATAGGGTTGGATCTATCTCCGCCAGGCTCCTATAAATCAGATTACAAACCTGCAGAGATTAACAAACTAAATTGGTACCTGTAGTTTGGATTCATGTATCAGTTTGCCTACTTCATGATAAAAAATGTATGCACGCATGACTGTAAGTCGCTTTGGATAAAAGCGTCTGCTAAGTGGCATATTATTTATTATTATTATCATGTCTGTAAATGACAACAGAATGGTCGTCACTAGTTACCACAGCCACACATCCCGCCTATTTCTACAATTTCTCTTCTTAAAATCTGATTTTAAACCTAACCTAACCTAACCTAACCACACTGATAACCTTATACCTAACCTTAAATGAAGACCAAAAGCCAAACGTTTGATTTCATGAATTTTTACAATTTGTGGCTGTGGTAACTAGTGGAAACCTAACAGTGCTGATAAAAACATATGCACGCCATTTTGTGATAATGGTTACGACAAATTACATGGCATCCATGTGAAGTTATAGCTATTATTTATATTATGGCACCACGTGTCATTTCACGCTTCCTCGACTTATTCCATCATGACATCAATGACAACATGCTCCTCTTACAGGAGTGGGTCGAGGTTCCAGAGCAACCCACTAGGGTGGAGTGTTCGGTAACTCTCCCTCTCCGAGTCCACCGTCTCAGAACACCTATCAGCATCACCTCTTCCCCAGGAGTATTGGGATCTGGGGGAGTGGTTTAGTAAGAGGCATGCCAAGGGCCTACCTCCTCACAGGCCTTATGACTGCGCTATCGATCTCCTGCCGGGCGCCATGCCCAGATGAGGGCGATGGATTTCCTTGTCCCGGCCGGAGACGCTGGCCATGAGGGACGACTCCATTGTCCCCAACACCCTGATGGCTGCCCCAGTTTCGTGGGGAATTGATAGGCTGGTCAGAGCAGCGCTACGGTGGGAGTCCGACCCGGGCGGAGGTCCATCGGGGAGGATATACGTACCCAAGGCTGCGCGCTCGCGACTGCTTCAGTGGGCGCACGCGTCTGACCTCACCAGCCATCCGGGGGGCGCCAGGACTTTGGAGTTCCTGCGTAGGAGGTTCTGGTGGCCATCTGCTGAGGGGGATACGCACGCCTTCGTGGCTGCTTTCCTGGTGTGCGCACACACAAAGAGCTCACGTCAGTCCGCGGCAGGGCTACTCCGACCCCTGCCTATCTCCAAGCTCCCCACTGTTACAGGAGTGGGTCGCAGTTCCGGAGCAACCCACCAGGTGTCATCCTCCGACAACCGTAGGCACCTCCTCACTCACAGTCGGGACTAATTATCTGCCTATTGGTGTCACCTGTGGCTATCTGATTCACCTGTGTATTTATGCCCTCACTTCCCTGTGTTACCTTGCTCAGTTTTCTCTGCTAGTTCCATGATGTCAAGCAGTACGTATCAGTGTCGGAGTTACAGGTACTGGAGAAGTGTTCTCCCTGTGTCATTGTGTTTTTCCAGTCAGAGTTAGTATTTCGTATTGTTTGTTGTCAGCCTGTTTTTTGGAGACCCATGTGCTCCTCATTTGTTTTTGTGTATAGTCTGTTTTGTATCCTGGCTTTTGGACCATCAGTAAAGATCCTTGTTTCACCATCCTTGCCTACTGTCTATCCTGCACCGCACCTGGGTCACACCTCACACCAACCCTTACAGCTCCTTATTTGACTGTAGTCAAATTTTGCAGTCAAACTGCTTCAAATTGGGTGATTAGCCTAGGTGGCTAGTTAGCTAAATGACAACCCTATTAATTCTAGAAGTATCGACTCTATGGCTTAATTCAGAAAGTAGACTTTACCTACGAGTTACATCTGTAGGCATTAGCTCGCTAGCATGAGCTAGCTAACATGAGCTAGCTAGCCAACATGCATTGTTTCTGACATGCCACGATTCTGCTTACTTTACATCTGACAGATATTTAGCTACTGTAGCTAGATAATGATGGTTTATACTGACTCTACACACACGCACACCCACTCACATACATGCTGCTGCTACTCTGTTTATCTTATATCCTGTTGCTGACTGCAGGAATATCCACCAAAATAGACTTGCACATTGTGAATGTGGTATTGGAATTGACCCTGTGTATACTGAACAAAAATATAAACGCAACAATGTCTACGATTTTACTGAGTTGCAGTCAATTTAAATAAATTCATTAGGTCCTAATCTATGGATTTCACATGACTGGGAATACAGATATGCATCTGTTGGACACATACCTTAAAAAACAAATGGGCCTCATGATCTCGTCACAGTATTTCTGTGCATTCAAATTGCCATTGGTAAAATGCAATTTTGTTTGTTTTCCATAGCTTATGCCTGCGTATACCATAACCCCACCGCCACCATGGGGCATGCTTTTCACAAAGTTGTCATCAGAAAACCGCTCGCCCACACAACGCCATTCACGTGGTCTGCGGTTGTAAGGCCGGTTGGACATACTGCCAAATTCTCCAAAACTATGCTGGCAACAGCTTTGGTGGACATTGCTGCAGTCAGCATGCCAATTGCAAGCTCCCTAAAAACTTGAGACATCTATGGCATTGTGTTGTGTGACAAAACTGCACATTTTAGAGTGGCCTTTTATTGACCCCAGCACAAGGGGCACCTGTGTAATGATCATGCTGTTTAATCAGCTTCTTGATATGCCACACCTGTCAGGTGGATGGATTATCTTGGCAAAGGAGAAATGCACACTAACAGGGTTGTAAACAAATTTGTGCACAAAAGTTGAGAGAAATAATATTTTTGTGCGTATGGAACATTTCTGAGATCTTTTATTTTAGCTCATGAAACATGGGACAAACACTTTACATGTTGCGTTTATATTTTTGTTCAGTGTAGTATGCTAGCTAGCTAACCAACTAGGCAGTTATCAAAGGCACTCAGTCGGTAACTTACCATACTTTTCTGACCAACTAGACATTACTTTAGCCAATCTCGGCTTACTCCTTCTTGCCTACTCCCGTCTATAGGTCTTCTACTAGGTTCAAAAAGACATCAAATAAACTCTGTGACAATAAAAAAAAAAGTGACATATCAGATTCATACACTACTCATTATTGTTTTTTTAAAAGTGAAACATGGCCTTTAATAGACTCAGTAAGCATATCATTAGTCAAACAAATAAGGTCTATTGGATTGATGCTATCTTCTGGAGGCTCTCTAGCTTCTCTACTTCCCCACATGGATTTACTGAGATCGCTCTCTCTCTCTCTCTCCTTTCTTTGTGCCAGTTTTCCAGCCACCAGTAAGAGCCTGTCCCAGATTCTGCTGACCCAAATCAACGTTTGACATGTTCCGGTCTGTTCATTTAGTTTTTTTTGTAAATAGCCACACCTGTTCCGGACATGTGTCAGTCCAGTCAGTTTCACCATTTTATGCAGTACACAGTCAGTCTAGGACACTCTTCTCAATCTATCTCAGTCACATTTTGCACGCTTTCTAATTATGTCCCGGCCTGCAGCAAGTGTGGTTACAGTCATGGCCTGCTCTACCTATCTGCTGTCATTTAGGCGGCTGGGCGTTATCCCAGGTTCTGAGGGTTTAACCGGGAGGGCCTACTCATTGCCTTGCGTTGCCAGGGCCGCTGAATCTTATCCTTAGTGACAGTTGGGAGGCTTTAATCTGAAGGTAATCTTAGCTCTGTGGGGTCACAGTCTCAATCTGATGGCTCACTACGCAGGGGGCCGTGGCTTAGTGTGGTATACGTGCCTGTAGCTTCCTGATCTGTCCTCTCCAACTTAACTATATATACTGTAGGCCGCACATACAACACATCCGCCCTTCTATGATGCAGTGACATAGTTCAGGAGACAGGGGTCAGACCTCAGATGTGCATTTAACACGGACTTTGTTGAGAATATGAAGATGAGAATATGACAGAAATAGCATTGACTCATTCCCAGTCCATTCTTTTCAACTACTGTACTGTTAAGGTTGCCAACTCAGACCGAGCTCATTCCAGGAAATTAAATAGGGCTTTCAACATTGTTTACAATTGAAAGAAAGTGTACCCAAACGCAATTGTTTACAATTGTTTAGGTACCTATTTATTTAATCTCCCAGAATAGCTTCAGAGCTTGCCAGGAGGTACAGGTTGATTACAGAATAGTTCAGGCCAAGCCAGGTGGGTTGGCAACCCTATGGCTACAGTTGTTGTTGCCCTGAATACATTGTTTACTGGGGACACCCTGTGGATTTAAAGAGAAATGCAGCTTTTACAGAGATTTCTTTTAGATGTCCTTCAAAGAGTAATATGCTGATTCAATAAATTAGGTGTCTTCACATTTGTGTGTCTTAACTGACTTCACAAGTATATTTCAAGTATTTTATTTTAGTAGTCATTTCATTTTAAGACCCAGCTCCTCACAGCTTACTTTTGACTTCCTTTCCCAAATCTGTTTTCCTTCCAGGTGAGCAGGTGGCAGTGTTCCGGGGCACAGAGGGCAAAGCCTACGTGGTGGATGCCTACTGCCCCCACTTGGGAGCCAACCTGGCAGTGGGGGGGCGTGTGGTGGGGCAGAGCATAGAATGCCCGTTCCACGGCTGGCAGTTTCGGGGGGAAGATGGGAAGTGTGTGAGGATCCCCTATGCAGAGAAAGGTGAGAAGCCACGACCAACTCAATGTAATGTAATTTAATCATGTTTATAATGTATCCAGCTAAAATAATGTGGGATTCTACTTCTGTCAACTATGCAATCTTTCGTGACAGCCTTAACATTAGTAGCTGATTTGGTTCTGGGCGCCGAGATTGTAAACAGTGTAATGTCTTACATTTGAAAAACAGATTGATTTGTAATTTAGAGCAATATAATGATTTTGTGTATTTTCCCTCTGTGGATCCTTAGTGCCAGAATTTGCTAAGGTGCGCTGCTGGCGCAGTATGGAGACCAATGGTCAGGTTCTGGTGTGGTTCCACTGTGACGGAGAGGAACCTGGCTGGACAGTACCAGAGCAGGGGGAGATCACACGAGGGGAATGGGTCTATCGGGGACGCACTGAGCACTTCATCAACGCACACATAGAGGTTTGTTGTCTGTTGTAGATGTGCGCTTGGGTGTGTGTGTGATAAAGTAATAGTCTTAATGTGACACTTGTTTTGTATATATTTTTTTGTTTTACCATATGATTACTTTAGGTATGTGTTCTTTTGTAAATCCTTAAGACTTTGCCTTATAAAGTGAAAGCCAACTGTGCATTTTCCTCTCTGTGACTGCCCCTTGTAGGAGATCCCTGAGAATGCAGCAGATATTGCCCACCTGGCCCACTTGCACACACCAGGCATTGTGAGTGGGGTTGACCTGCGCTACACCAACAGCAAGACCTGGGAGTTTGTGAGGCACGACTGGAAGGTAAGGGCTTCCTGACCATGTGACCTTACCACTCTAGGCCTACTTATATATACGTTTAGAACTTCTTTAAATGGTGCCTCAATGGTGTGTCCTTACAAATACTTGATGGTGTGTGTGTGTGTGTGTCTGTGTGTGTGTTCCAGGTGCAATGGGAACCTGAGTCTGAGCCCACTAAGCACTGCTCCCAGATGCTGGTGAAACATGCCCTGACGGTGTTTGGTCGCCACTGGCCTCTGATGGACATGGATGTAGTGGCTCGACAGGTACAGATGATCGCAGACAGACAGACAGACAGACAGACAGACAGAGAGGCAGGCAGACAAACAGACAGACTAGATAGTGTTCAGAAAATGGTGACCCTGAGTTACTGAATTCAGTCATAAAACACAGCTGAAGTCATCATTGTCAACAAGTGTGTCAGCCAAGGCCACCCAGTGCCAAGACTGCTCTTGGTTTTAGCCTCTCCGTCAGCTAAGATATATATCACCGTCTCAAAGGAACAAACTGACCATTCAGACAGCTTTGTCACCTCTTGTTTTCGCTTCACTGCTTTGGATTTGTGTACATGGCTGCTTCCAAACGAGCTGCCTCAGTCACTATGGTGATGTTGAACAGGCCCTTTGGCAGTGTGGAGACGACCTATAACTCTGTCTTAGGTCAACTGGGGTTGGACAGAGTGGTGCCTGGCTGCTGTAGAGACAGAACATAGAATAGTATCCAAACTCTCATCATAGAAGGCAATTAACATTCACCTTAGTATCAATAACAGTGTTTCAGTCTGATGTGTCCAGCACTATAAGCCAACAAAATTTTTTATGGATGGTCCATTTAGTTCTGCCCAGGATTTTGTATACACTATATTTAGTACATGCGCATGATGTGTACATGTCAATAATATATGTCTGTGTGTTCCAGGTTGGTCCAGGGGTGGTGTTCCTGCTGTTCGACCACAGTTTCCTGGGTCAGGGTGTGATCATGCACTGTGTGACGCCTGTGGAGCCTCTACTGCAGTGTGTGTCCCACACCATCTTCTACCAGAGCAACATCCCGCCACTGGTGCCCAAGTTCATCCTGAGGGCAGAGTGCATCCAGGTACCATGTATCCCCGCCATGTTGCCCAGCTTACTCCTGCCCTCAGACTCTCGTACACACGTTATAACGCACAGGAATTGTACTGTACAGCCAACGATCAAACTGTTCTCACTGTGATACATCATATTACAAACACCACGAATATCATGCATGTCAATTCATACACATTATTAGTATCCTTAATAATATTCAATTTATCATAATCTGGTGAATATACAGGATGGTAGAATATATGGTAGACTTTGAAATGTGACTTTTAAAAAGTCACTAATTTGCCTTTTTTTTTGCTTTTTATGTGAACATTCTTGTCAGATTGATCACTACTTATTTCAGGTTTTGATGTAACTAACCCCTTGTTGTTCTGACTGGTTTGTGTCCCAGTTTGAGCGGGACGTGATGATCTGGAACAATAAGAAGTACATCTCTAAGCCCCTGCTGGTGAAGGAGGATTCTGCCATCCAGAAACACAGGCGCTGGTTCAGCCAGTTTTACAGTGACAACAGCCCTCGCCTGCGCTACCAGCACAACACGATGGACTTCTAACCTCTGATCTCACACACTGGAGGAAGCACAGGAAAGCCAAAGGAGGTATACTGGTCCAAAAAGACATTAAATGTCCAAAAGGTATTCAAATATAAAAGAGAAGAAGACACCCTTGGACTCTGAATGGGGAGAAATGTAACACCAGAAAATGGTTAGCCTTTTGTAGCAGCCATAACGTCAATGCAGTCAGCTCTTTCATGGTTAATTCATTGTGGGGTCTTGTAATGCAAATCAGCTGTAGTAAAAGCAGCATTTGTTATTGTTTTGATAACTGATCTGCAACCAAGTACCCAAAGGGACTCTTATTCTTCCAAAGCCCTGAAGTCGTGCTCCACATTTTCACTTAATTGGACTTCCGTAGCAAGACAAAAATGCTGGTGGGAGGATTCATCTTCTCCCCTTCTTGTTATATTTCAAACAAAGCAACTGAATGCCCTCACATCTCCCATCAGAGTTGTACAGGTGTAAAAAGAGACCAGACTATCTTTGGCCAGTTCAGTGTACGAAATGAACACTCTCCTGTGGGAACTTGGTGAGATTCGCTCTGGCCTCGTTTAAGTGCCTAGCTATAGCTACTATGTGATCCTGTAGGGTTGATGGGACCTGAAGACTGCTCCCTTTTCACTCATCTTTCTTCAGATTTCTTCTGATTGCTCCTGCCGTCTTCAAAACAGTTTATCCACATCTCAATCATACAGGATTCAGCCCATATTATGGTGAAGACCCACCAGAACCAACCAATATGAATAGATATGCCAGAATTGCCTAGCCTTTATTGTAGCTGATAGTAAGAGTCTATACTATGTGAATGAATATTTTGCATCTTCAAAGTGTTATTGTGTAAATCAAATGATACAAACCCCCCAAAAATCCATTTTAATTCCAGGTTGTAAGGCAACAAAATAGGAAAAATGCAAAGGGGGGTGAATACCTTTGCAAGCCACTGTACCATACAAAATAGGGCAGTGTAAAAAGCAGAACTCGCTATAACTTAAAACATGTCATTTATTTTCAGCCTAAGCTCTCAAGGAAACTCCAAATCGGGCAGACGTGACTTGTGAGGACAGCACTGTGTTCCAAAAGGAGTGCTTAAAGCATTAATGTTTAATGAAAGCTGGCACCCAGCCCCAGCCCCAGCTTCAGGCCCTTTCAGGAGTGTTTGTGTCCCCTGGAGAATATCCTAAAGCTCAGTTGCTGATTGACCCTGCCAACTTATAGTGGTTCCCTCACATTACCCTTGAATAGATTATGCAGTTCCTTTGTACTATGCACCAGTGCAGTATATGATGACAGTATTAGAATGTTGGTACCAGTTAGTTACCAATATGTTGAATTTGAATCCTTTGAAATAAGTATTAGAAAGTATCAAAACCAGGTGGTAACAGTAAAATGAAGTACTACCGCATACTGTATAGACATGAGGATAACAATTATAGTCCAAGGTCATTACAGTATGTAGAATATATTTACATGTGGATCGCTTATTGACGAAGCCATTTTGACAAAGCATTTAGAAGAGATGTCCTATAAGGAACTCAGTGTTTCTAGCTTGTTCTTTCTCTATTACATAACTGTGAGTCCAGTTTGTGATGAGAAAAGGTGGGGTTATCCAAGGAGTTTCATGGCTTCATACCGCAGTTGTGCACTATATATGCACTCAAATGTAGCAAAGTTCATGTGACAAAATTGTTTGATTGAGTTGCTTTGCGACAGACTTAGAAATTAAAACATGCTCCCTAATGAGAAAAGCTGTGAGTGCTAACATGGTTTTACTGTGCTGATGATACAGTACATTATTACTGTGTTAGTGCTTTGAGACTGTGCAGGTTTACACAGGCCATTGGTATGTACTTCCATTATATGATGCCGTGTTACTGGCTGTACTCTGAGATTGCTCAAAAGAGCCAGATTCTGTCTGCACTCTGTGACAACAATGATGCCGTTAGGTTGTACAATTAGATTGTACCAAATGTATTGTGTTAGAATAGCACAATAATACATGTATATCCCAGCTTTCTCCATATGACATAGGAGATTGGAAAGATTATTTTTGTAATTGCATTGTCTAGAAATGCAGCATTTATTTAAATCAGCAGAATAAACATACTCAAATATATTGTGTTTGCTCTTGCATTATTGCCGTTGTAGGCAAACTCTTCCAACGCATGCTTTATTGTGTTAAACTGAGTGGAATGCTCAGTGTACTGCTTGGCCACCGGCACTTCTGGACACTTGGGCTTATCATGCCTTATCTGTGTAAGTGCTTATCGAGGTTGGTTTCACTGAGGGGGAGGCTAGGCCTTCCTCCTCTGCAATAAAAAGCATTAAGTCAACACTACTGCCTACTTTCACATTTAGTCGAGCTTTGTCCAGGTAGAGTGTTGTGACTGAACTTTCTTAGCTAAGAGATCTGTGTTGTAGATGCCACTGGAATTCTGCTCAGCCTAATCTGAAACTTGACACAGGATACTGTCTAATTTTATCTAACAAAATATGGATGGAATGGCGGGTGACCTTGAAACGGGGCAAGCAGGGAACGACGTGACACTCGAGGAAATTAGTTTTTCTGTGGTTGGAGCAATGTGTCCTGCAGTGTTAAGTACGGTTGAGGAAACCAAGGAGGTAGAGGAGGAGAGGGTCCAGGGAGAGGATGGCTCAGTGAGAAAGCCCCTGCTTCTACAACAGCATGTCCTGGGAGAGGTCAAGCAAATTCACACACCAGTCACCCGAACAGGGCCAGCAGATGGAGCTGACCAAAAGACATCTGTTCAACAAGAGCTCCATTTTGACAACACAGAGCAGCCTCAAAGCAAAGGGACAAGTGTCGGGAGTCAAAGCAATAGTGACAACATAGGGGACAATGAGTGCCCCATCTGCAGTGAACTGTACGACTCTCAGGGAGACAATCGGATGGCATTGTTGAACTGTGACCACACGTTGTGCCATTGCTGTCTGGCCACCATCCTTAAGCGTGCAGCAGATCCTAGCCGGGTGCAGTGCCCCTTATGTCGACAGAAAACTCCTCTCCTTCACTGGGAGATCCAGAGGATGCAGGAGGATATGATGTGCCACCAGGTCAGTAGCTCTGATCCTGGACTCCTCATCACAGACACTCTGCCTGAGACCATGACAGCCCCACGACTCTGCTTCCACATGGAACAGAGGCTGCAGACTCGCATGGAGTCAATATTGCTGTGTGGATGCTGCCTGTACCCTCCTCGTCTGATGCAGATGATGAGGCGGATGCAACGCCACTGTCGATGCTGCTACCTGACATTCCTGGTGCTTCTCTTCCTGATAGAAATGAGCTGTCTGCTGGTTGTCTTCCTTCCTGTTATCGTGCTAGTGTTGTTATTCACTCTAGTGAAGTAGATGGTTGGTTAATCTATGCCTATTAGTCTCTTCTAACATCCATTGTATTTCATTATTAATAACGGTGTTGTCTGTCTTACCAATGGGCCTTTAGTTTTACAATCATCAATGAACCATGTGTTTCTCTCAAATTGCTAAATAAAGGTGGAATCCTCCATGGACCTTGGCTTAATATTAGACTGGGATTGAGTGATTATAAAATGCCACCCATATTTTACACAAAGGATACAAATGAACAATGGTACACAGCACACTTCTTGGAAACATGGCGACACTGCCTCCGTCTAAGGATGACCAAGATTAGAGTGGCTTAAAAATAGCCTCAAATGTTTCAGTGCATCTCTTGCAGTGTCTGGGCCTCCTGTTTATTCCTAGCTACTAGAGTCCAGCTTGTTGTATTTCCATGATATGTACTTGGAAGTTTTCAATAAGACTTTGAGTCTGACTGGTTTTAGATGCTTGATTGTTCTGACATTTAAATTGCGTCAATTACTCAACATGTCACCTTTGAATTATAGATTTTTTTTGTTCAGCCCCGCACCAAACAATCAGTAAGTAAGCCACCTCTTTTCCAGATAAGTTTCCATCTACTAAATGAATGTTTTCTGACAAACAGAACAGAACAGGAATAATTCCGCTGGCCATTGGGACAGGGCCAAAGAAAACAAGGGAGAGCTGCTCATAAGTAATTTATGCAGGAAACACATCAGACATGCATCTTCAGAAGTCACGCTTAGGCAACCTGCCTCTATGAATTACAGTACTCTATTTATGCTAACATGTTGACAGCAGAAGAATGCTTTACTCCCACCTCTCAATCAACTGATGTGGCCAAACAGTCACAGGACTTGATGAACACACACTCATGTAGATGAACTTGGCAATTCAAAGTGAGCTGGTGCAATACTTTTCAGAATGTTATTTTAAAGGTATACTGTGTATTATTGGTTCCCCTCCTGAAAGGAGTACCTGTGTTCTGCTACTATTGATTCACATTGCAACATGTAACTAAAGGTTATGGCTGGCATACAAATAGATTGCTGCCAGGCTGTGTGTAGGAAGTGAGTGAGTGAGTGAGTGAGTGAGTGAGTGAGTGAGTGAGTGAGTGAGTGAGTGAGTGAGAGTGAGAGTGAGAGAGAGAGAGCTTCCACTGTGTAGGTGGTATGTGTATGTATGTCCTTGTCTCTGTGTGGGTGGATGATTGTGTGTGTGCATGTGTGAACTCTAGAGCATGTGTGTGTGTCTCATTGGTATGGAATGAGACTCTTGAGTCTGTTTGCTTGTATACGTCTGTTCTCTGCCAGCGCACATCGTTATATAACGGCTGCATTGCAGACTGGCCCTGCTGTATTGATGTATGAGTGGTGGGTGGTGGAGGGAGGGAGGGAGGAGGGACACTAAGGGCTACTACAGGAATCCAGCAAACAAGAGTCCTTGTTGCTGTTGGCCTTCCCTCTGAGTGGCTCTCATTATGTTTAACACACCCACAGTGCCACAGTCTAACAGCTATCCCAGAGCCACAGCCATGTATAGTCATACCGTACATCTATATGGCTCTGAGCTATCTGAAAACCAGTCATGCTTTTCAATTGTTCTATTCTTGACACCCGTGTTATGAAAGGTTACTTTATATGACGTATGCAGTGATGTAGTTATTTAAACCAATGGAGAAGCCTGAGGCAGGGGTAATGTCCCGCCCCCTTTACGATGTTGGCATTGATCTAAATACAATTTCATACTTAATAAATCTATTGAATAAATCTATAATAATAGTTTTGTTTTCATTCCTGCGGAAACCACACACTTCATAAGAGGGCTAGATGTTTCCTATGCCTACTGATGATATATCGTCTCTAGCCTGTTTGTGTGCCGTAGAGAGTGAGAGCTATATATATCCTATGTGCTTACTGAAAATATATAATCTCTAGCCTATTTGTGTGCCTCTCATAGAGGGCCATCTCTGCGTTCCTCATTTATAATTCAGTAGACAGATCAATTGTGACCTCATTTCCAAAATGTCTCTTTCATTTGAAAATCTATGTACACATGACTTTTACACTGGGTAATACACAACAGGGCTCACAGATTATTTCCTGCTAAATGAAAAATTAATTGACTATTGATTATCGGAGACTAAACAGATGAGATTTAACCACTAATCATCTGGTTTATAAACAGCCCATCCCTTTTACAGCCCTGGTTGACCTTATTGGCTAGTTACCCCAGAAACACCACATTTTACTGGGAAACGTGTGGGGCTTAATGTGGGCAAAACTAGGATAGCCTATTGGCAGGCCTACGTTCCAATTGCAATGGCATTTTGTCTAAATTAACCTAGGCTAGGCTACTATGCTTTATCAGTTATCCAGTGTGATGTGCATCAAAGTAATAGCTGTGCCATTATGTCTTTGATGTTCAATAAATGTGTTAGGTAATATGCATTTTCCGAAATGTAACACTGTGGAGAGAGAGGCTTGTTTCCTAGGTTACCAGGATGGTTGAAAATTTGCTTAGCAAGACTGATGCTCTTGTGCCTCCCGTGGTTACTTGGACACTTGGTTCCCTCTCTCCATTCAGAGACATTTCAAATGACATTACCTGACCCCACAATCGGACAAAACATCTAACAAGTATACACATCTGTCACTACAAATTAGTTAAAACGACACATTCATGTCACACTTTTGGAATTAGTCCAGATACAATATTTTTTGATGCAACTCAATAAATATTTCAGGCATTTTTTTATATATACAGTACTAGTCACAAGTTTGGACACACCTACTAATTCCAGGGTTTTTCTTATTTTTTAAACTATTTTTTACATTTTAGAATAATAGTGAAGACATCACAACTATTAAATAACACATATGGAATCATGTAGTAACCATAAAAGTGTTAAACAAATCAAAATATATGTTATATCTTAGATTCTTCAAATAACCACCCTTTGCCTTGATGACAGCTTTGCACACTCTTGGCATTCTCTCAACTAGCTTCACCTGGAATGCTTTTCCAACAGTCTTGAAGGAGTTCCCACATATAGTGAGCACTTGTTGGCAGCTTTTCCTTCACTCTGTGGTCCGACTCATCCCAAACCTTCTCAATTGGTTTGGGGTCAAGGGAATGCGGAGGCCAGGTCATCTGATGCAGCACTCCATCACTCTCCTTCTTGGTAAAATAGCCCTTACACAGCCTGGAGGTGTGTTGGGTCATTGTCCTATTGAAAAACAAATGATAGTCCCACTAAGCCCAAACCAGATGGGATGGCGTATCACTGCAGAATGCTCTGGTAGCCATGCTGGTTAAGTGTGCCTTGAATTCTAAATAAATCACAGTGTCCTAGTAAAGCACCCCCACACCATAATGCCTCCTCCTCCATGCTTTACGGTGGGAAATACACATGCAGAGATCATCCGTTCACCCACACCGTGTCTCACAAAGCCACGGCGGTTGGAACCAAAAATCTCAAATTTGGACTCCAGATCAAAGGACACATTTCCACTGGTCTAATGTCCATTGCTCGTGTTTCTTGGCCCAAGCAAGTCTCTTCTTATTATTGGTGTCCTTTAGTAGTGGTTTCTTTGCAGCAATTCGACCATGATTGCCTGATTCACACAGTCTCCTCTGAACAGTTGATGTTGATGTGTCTGTTACTTGAACCCTGTGAAGCATTTGTTTTGGCTGCAATCTCTGAGGCTGGTAACTGTAATGAATGTATCCTCTGCAACAGAGGTAACTCTGGGTCTTCCAGTCCTGTGGCGGTCCTCATGAGAGCCAGTTTCATTATAGCGCTTGATGGTTTTAATGACTGCACTTGAAGAAACTTTCAAAGTTCTTGAAATCTTCCGTATTGACTGACCTTCATGTCATAAAGTAATGATGGACTGTTGTTTCTCTTTGCTTATTTGAGCTGTTCTTGCCATAATATGGACTTGGTCTTTTACCAAATAGGGCTATCTTCTGTACACATGTACACCATCTCATGAAGCTGGTTGAGAGAATATCAAGAGTGTGCAAAGCTGTCATCAAGGCAAAGGGTGGCTATTTGAAGAATCTCAAATATAACATATATTTTGATTTGTTGAACACTTTTTTGGTCACTACATGATTCCATATGTGTTATTTCATAGTTTTAATGTCTTCACTATTATTCTACAATGTAGAAAATAGTAAAAATAAAGAACAACCCTTGAATGAGTAGGTGTGTCCAAACTTTTGACTGGTTGTGTATATATTCCCCATGTAAGTAGACAAGCGTCATAACAGTACTGTGGTTTTGTTGGAGCGTTGGAGGTTTTGCATGATTGAAGAGGTTGACATATATGGAGGACTAAAAGTGCCACAATTAAATAAATAAATACACCATTAAATAATTACTTAAATGTGTCATTAATTAATTAAAATTAGAATTAAATACATAAATGTGTAATTAAATGTATCATTAATTAATTCAAATACCGATTCATTTTATGTAAAATACATATATAATTATTTCACTATTTACATTTACATTTCATGATCCTGCATTGCAGTGATTCATGAATTACTTAAAACTGTCAAACTGACCCATCAAAGTCAGTGGGCGGGGCTAACGCGAATCTAGTCTGATCCATTGCTTTGGTCTGAAGTAGAGTAGGCCAACCTGGATAGAGACAATGGAGGATCTCCGTGAACTTTCCAGGGAGTTGGTTAGAGACATTTTAAACTTAGCAGAGGATGTAGAAGCAGGACCTGCTGACATTATCCGGAATTGATTTGTCTTGGCTTGATGCAGAGGGTAACCAATCAGGCGTTAGGTTCCGCCTACCAACTTTTGATGGGTCAGTTTGACAGTTTTAAGTAATTCAGGAAGCACTCCAACGCAGGACCATGAAATGTAAATGTAAATAGTGAAATTATTATATATGTATTTTACATAAAATGAATCGGTATTTGAATTAATTAATGACACATTTAATAACACATTTATGTATTTAATTCTAATTTTAATTAATTAATGACACATTTAAGTAATTATTTAATGGTGTATTTATTTATTTAATTGTGGCACTTTTAGTCCTCCATAGACATATGGATAACATGGTTACATAATTGATTGGATGTTTGGATGTAAAGGTGGTGGGGGGGGGGGGGGGGGGGGGGGGTGTAGCCTACAATTGGTGGTCTTGGTCCACCTGGGTATGTGGAATTCTGCTGATTTATAGTGCGAGCCAGTTCAACCCATTCCAGCGGAATGAGCGTGCAGGCTCGGGTCCATCTGCTCGGTGCGCTGTAACAATGTTGTTGGAGAAAATATTTCACACATTGGAATCATCTGGGTCACTGGATTTTTGAGGTGTCAATTTTCATTGCAATGGCACAAGCCAAGTGAAGCATTTCTTTCCCTAAATAAGCCTACAAAATTCACACTCAATAATTAGTTTTTCATCACATATTTCATTTTTTGATAAGATTAGTTATTTTTCATAATCTAAGCTGCCTACTACCATTCGTGTCCTATAATGAATCACATCGTTGATGAGATGTTGAAAACAAGACATTTCTGTTCTATGATTAGCTTCATTTATTTTATTTACTTTTCATTCAAGCAGCATAAGGTCGAAGCAAAATCAAAAGGTAGACGGCGGAGGCGCGCATCACTGCGCGGGCACAGCTGTCAGCACCAAGGACAGCCGCAGCCCCAAGCGTGCGTCAGTGTAATAATCACTTCACAGTAAAGCCCCGCACGGAGCCCACGGAGGACCGAGAGAGCGATTCACAGAGCATAAAGGAACCCGCATACACCGCAAAATATGCTCTGATTCGTTTCTAAAAGAAAATGGGGGAAATAGACAAAGAAAGATCAAAATGTTTGAAGAAAGGCTGCTGACAACTGCGGAGATAATCCAACAGCGGTTGAGGTCCTGACCATGCACATTCCTCCACATTTCACATAAATCAGCTGTCCAGATTTTCCACACTGTCCGGTGGTTACAGTCTTTTTAACCAGGTGAACCGTGCAGTCCAGAAGCCGGGCAAGCCGAGCCGCCAACACGAGGGAGAGACGCAACCGGGGTCCTCTGTGCGGTTTGGTCGTTCACACGATGCGTCTGTTTCTGCTGGCGGTGTTCCTCTCGTGCTCCTGTGCGCGGGGCGGCTGCGAGCCGAAGATAGTGAACATTGGAGCGGTCCTGAGCCAGAAGAGGTACGAGCAAGTGTTTAAGGATGCCGTGACCCAGGCGAATCAGATCTACGGGAGAGATAAATTCAAGTTGACCGCCATCTCTGTAACGCACAAACCCAACGCTATCCAGATGGCTCTCTCCGTCTGCGAGGACCTCATCTCTAACCAGGTATCTCGGGAGGGATCCGGTGTCCCTGCATGTCCCGGCATGGGTGTTAAATAATAATAGCCTAATTAGATTAGTCATTTAGCCAGAACATTTAGGCATCTATTCATTGGTGCAAAATGTCCATCATATCAATCAGAACCATCTAGAAGGCTAAAATGATTGTGAAGCCTACCATATTTAAGTTGTCTAAATTAGTATTAGGCCTATGGCCACTATTGGGAGGGAAATTAATCGACCTATTTAGTGTGATGCAGCATCATCCCGTGTCTGTTTCAAGGGAGCTGGTTGACGTGAGTAAAAGGGCAGATGAGGTCGATATATTGTGATCAGTGACCACCACTTCATTTGCAATAACAGACAATACCATCTCAGTCTAGACTATAACCTCAGTGCCTGCCTGTGAAACACTGTGCCAGTGCCACCTGCTTCTATTGCACATTTCAAGCAGATTGAGCTGACTGCATTTTATATATTTTCCTAAAACGGAACTGTTTCTTTGCACAAAAAAACGGTTTATTTGTTGCACATAATCAATACAGAAATGTCATTATTCTCACAGTCAATATCTCTTAGAGCCTAGCCCTATAGGCTATGATAAAAATACTATGAAACTGCGGCCTTTTCAGTGATCCATCACCTCTGGTAATACGATCGAGCTTCTGAAAGAAAATGGAAGCTGAAATGAAATTATGAGTCAGATATGCATATGACGTATATAATGACAATATAATGAGTAACTACCAAACCTGAACTTGTGGCCAAACATGAAAAGTAAATGGGCTGAAAATAGGCTGTTAGCCCGTGGCCAAATCTCTATCCCCATATCTGTAGCTTATTAGTCAGACAAAGCTATGTATTCAAGGGTTAATATAGCATAAGGGCTCTATTCAATCAGATCTGCTTTAACCGACATCAGTATGGCAGTTGTTTTGGCGGTGTTAAGAGGTGGAACTGCATTGTCAAATCCACAAGCAGCTCCTGGCATTATACTTAAAGCAGACATTGCCATTGGCTGCACAGAGTCGCATTAACAGAAATACCATGCAGTCTTGTTTACAAGTTCGAACACTGATTAGGATCATAGAAATTCTCATAATTTTGTTGAATGATTTAAATTTGACTGTAATTATTTCTATATAGCCTACACTTTCTCATTCTGAACTTCTAACACGAGTGGGGTGGGTGTGGCTTCGTGACAATGATTGCAAGAGCAGCTGCTCACCGATGGTTAATAACGCTTGATCTGATTGAATCTAGGTCTAAATCTCATTCAAAAGTTATTATTTTATGATATCAGTTAGAAATGGAAAATCTGTTTAGCCTTTAAAAGCCGTTGACTGATTATTTTTAAGGGCCAAAAACACAGATTTGTGGGGGATGAGAGGCCAACTGCACTTACATTTTTGTCATTTAGCAGACGCTCTTATCCAGAGCGACTTCAGTTAGTGAGTGAGTGCATACATTATTTTTTAATTTTTCATACTGGCCCCCCATGGGAATCGAACCCACAACCCTGGCGTTGCAAACGCCATGCTCTACCAACTGAGTTACATCCCTGCCGGCCATTCCATCCCCTACCCTGGACGAATTGTGCGCCGCCCCATGGGTCTCCCGGTCACCAGGATCTCTAGTGGCACAGCGATGCAGTGCCTTAGACCACTGCGCCACTCAGGAGGCACTTCAGTGTACACAGCTGCAAATCCACTGAAATTAACTAACTAACTAATAATTAAATCAGTGACTCATCCTTAAAGGGATATCCAGAGTCAGATGGACTCGTGGATACCATTTTTATGTCTCTGTGTGCAGTATGAAGGAAAGTAGCGGTACTTTCACGAGCCAATGCTAACTAGCGTTAGCGCAATGCGTTAATATTGGCTCGTTAAACTACAGCTAATTATATATTTAAAAAAATTATGGTATCCACGAGTTCATCTGACTCTGGGTAAGTAGACCAAGGGATTAAATGCCAGAATCCCTTTAACAATGAATCATTGGTGCCATGTGAGTAAATGTTGCCTAAAAGAAGGCCAACATTGCCGCGTGCGCAACGGGCCACTGCATCAAAGCATCTTGGGGGTAGTAGTTGGGGTGCATGCCTTGCTCGTCTGACGTTATGTCACCGGCCTTATTAGGGGAGAAGGGCGTTTAGTTTGTATTATGGAAAATTATGATTTGATCATTAGAAATTGGTAGTTATAACTGTTTGGTTCATGTTATTGCTAGATCAATAACTTATGCAGACTGATGTTGTTGTTTTTTGACACGAGTGTATGGTATGCAATTGTTTTTGCCTCTAGACTGGAAAAAATAACTGGCTTTTTCACTTGAAATGCGATTTTTCTTTAGGTCATAAAAGCATTTGCTCAGGACATGTGAATACAATTTAAACCTAACAATAAAAACAACGTTCATAAGTTATGTATTGCGATGTTATCCCTTTGAGAGTTGTTCCAAAAATGAAACACATTACTAAAAGCCTGGTCCATTGCATTCACATTAAGCATTACGTTGCTTTTGAAAGCAGCAATATCATGTAGTGAAGAGAGCTGAGGTGTGAACCCTCCCCCATCCCTCTTTCAAATTCTCACCCTCTCTTTCACACACACACACACGCACACACACGCACACGCACACGCACACACACAGACACACATAGACACAGACACAGACAATGTCCCTGGTCCTCTTCATTGTAATGATTGTAATTGATAGAAATGGTTACGTTACAAACATATCTCCCTGCGTTCGACGATATCTGAGTTCCATCCATCATCACAGAGGGCTGCAGGGATGAGAAAGGTGCCAATGTTCTACATGTCAAATGCAGTTAACACTGTCTGCTAACTGCATAGATGGAGATCTAACCATTTGAGAGACTCAATGAGAGGGTCCATGACAGATGGGATGGTAGATGCCTGGAAGCGCTCTTTGGATGGAAGACCTCATTTGAGGCCCAACCATATGGGCTGCACGCACTAAACCATCATGCCTGCATGTTTTTTTTCTTCCACCTCAGTTGGATCAGTGTCCCATTTCTCAAGAATCCGATTTATCTAAAAATTGATATACAGTTGCGCTGTAAAAAGCTGTTAGTAGAGCTGCAGTGAGGAGCATCTGTCTCCTTCAAGTGTCATCCAGCTTTGAGACAAATGAACATCTATCTACCAAGCAGCCATATTGCCAAATGAGGATTGTTTAAGAGGAAAAAGCTGATATGACATTTCCATGTCGCAGTGATGAATCAATAGTCCAAACACTTTTTTATCCTTTCACTTCTCTGTACAGGAAGTGTGGTTATCTTTCATTCCCGTACTCCTGTCTGCAGGTGTATGCCATCCTGGTGAGTCATCCTCCCCAGTCCAATGACCACCTCACCCCCACGCCTGTGTCCTACACCGCAGGCTTCTACCGCATCCCTGTGGTGGGCCTCACCACACGCATGTCCATCTACTCCGACAAGGTGAGAAATTAAAGAGAGAGAGAGGGAGAGAGAGTGTGAGAGAGAAATAGAGAGAAGAGAGAGGGGGAGGGAGGGAGGGAGGGAGGGAGGGAGGGAGGGAGGGAGAAGAGAAAGAGAGAGAGGGAGGAGAAGAGAGAGAGGGAGAAGAGAGAGAGAAAGAGTGAGAATGCGAGAGAGAAGGGGTAGGGTGAGTGGTGGAGAGGTCCCTGGGAATGGAAACAGACAAGAGAGACAAATTCTACTCCACTACTTGGCTAGCTACCAAAATAGCTCACGTAAGGCCTCATGAATATGTTAGAAATGTCACCAAAACCGTGTATGACTAGCAAGTAACTTCCTCTCACTCATTCTTCTTAATTTTCTTTCTCCTCAGAGTATCCACTTGTCCTTTCTGCGGACTGTCCCCCCGTACTCCCACCAAGCTCACGTGTGGTTCGACATGATGCGAGAGTTTCGATGGAATCACATTATTCTGATTGTCAGCGATGACCACGAGGGGCGGGCCGCGCAGAAGAGACTGGAGACCCTACTGGAGGAGAGGGAAACAAAGGTGAGATGCTCGGGCTCGCAGGACCCCTAGTGTGTGTGACCGTGTGTATGTGTGTAATCTCTGTTTAACTCTCAAAGGTCTTCTATGTACTGTATGTAACTGTTTTCCTTTCTTTTGTGTGAACACATCTCTCACTGACCATTGTGTAAACATTGGCTAACATCAATATGCTAGAGACATCTACAGCGTCTAATGTGGTCTAATCTGAGTACATCTTTTACTCATCTCATGTTGCTTTTCACCATAGTCAAATTCTCCTGTGTCAATCCACAACAGGAGCCAAATAGCGCACTTTAACCTGGGGCTTTGCAAAACATCAATTACTACCAAACATAATGATGGTTCACAGATCCTTCATATATGTTTGTGTTGCAATATTACGTTTGGATGGAATGGAGATGAGCTATCCAGTGTTATGCTCACTTGGAGTCTTGTAAAGGGATGGATGGTTGACATATCAGTATATTAAACCAGCAACTATTCATTTACCGGCCCAACGCTCTTAATTGCTAGGCTACCTGCCGCCCAGATCCTTGTCGTTGTCAGATAAAGGACTGTGAGACCATGCAAGTGAAATGACCCATATATGTGATGTAACCATGAGCATACTTTTAGCGCAGCGTCACCTCTGGCTCTGAGGCTGTGTTGCTTGGAATGTAGCTCATTAATAAATGTGCTGATCCACCTAAAGCCTAAAACAGACCAGTGATGATGTCCTCTAAAGGATCATGTTCCCTAAAGGAAAAGCGAAGGAACAATTAACTCATCTTTGAACATACGTTTAGTATAGTTCACCTCAGGATGTGGTTAAGGCTTTTTGCAATGCTTGTTCCCTTCAGGGAGTCCTTCCTGTAATTGTATGACGGAGTGAAAGGAGTCCTGATTTGAAGAGTAATTTAATCAGAGGCTGGTGAAATGGCTCATTTGACACAAGCTCACAATAATTCACACCGAAGGGAGAGGGGACATTTTAAACACGTTGTGGTTAATCAGTTACACTCACACATGATCAAGATTGATTAGGAGTTACTAAGTATAATTTATGTCGATAAATCATCTTGTTATTAAGGATTGTGACTTAATTGACTTTACCTGTGGAGTGGTATTGTCTATGGTAAAGACCTACATTAGATTAAAGAAAAGTTGGTTAACTGATAGCTACTTGTTTCTTCCTTCCTGGAATCCATCTTGTCTGCTCACTCTCTCTCTCTCTCTCTCTCTCTCTCTCTCTCTCTCTCTCTCTCTCTCTCTCTCATACTGCCATAAGCAGAGATTGGATAGATTTATAGTTACCAGATTGAAAGAATCTATCAATGTCACAGAAACCTTGATATGGTAGACACTATGATATGATGCTGTAAGGAAGTATCTATGTTCTCACAGTTAAAAGCTTGGACTGTGATTTTATCAGTGGTTGTAAGAAATGACTCAGCCAGCCAGGTTGGCAGAATCAAATCAAATCAAATTGTATTTGCCACATGCCGAATACAACAGGTGTAGACCTTACAGTGAAATGCTTACTTACAAGCCCTTAACCAACAATGCAGTTTTAAGAAAAATAAGTGTTAAGTAAAAAATTGATAAGTAAAAAATAAAAAATAAAAATAACTAAAGAGCAGCAATAAAATAAAATGCAATGCAAATAATCTGGGTAGCCATGATTAGCTGTTCAGGAGTCTTACGGCTTGGGGATAGAAGCTGTTAAGAAGCCTTTTGGACCTAGACTTGGCGCTCCGGTACCGCTTGCCGTGCAGGTAGCAGAGAGAACAGTCTATGACTAGGGTGGCTGGAGTCTGGAGAATTTTTAGGGCCTTCCTCTGACACCGCCTGGTATAGAGGTCCTGGATGGCAGGAAGCTTGGCCCCAGTGATGTACTGGGCTGTACGCACTACCCTCTGTAGTGCCTTGCGGTCGGAGGCCGAGCAGTTGCCATACCAGGCAGTGATGCAAGCAATCAGGATGCTCTCGATGGTGCAGCTGTAGAATGTTTGTAACATTTGGGGAGTTTGTGTCATTTCCTCCTTAATGAGAAATATTCTAGTTATTCACATTTCATATTCTGTATCGTGCAGATTATTCACACTGTAATTGCAGGTTTATATGCTGTGCTGCTGTGACAAGCCACAGCGACTATTTGATGGGGTTCTGTAGCACAGCCGGTAGAGAGACTCTTCTAGCTGTAATGGATTCAGTCAGAATACTAACATTAGTGACACAACATACAATATTCATGCTTGAATAAAGTAGCAAAAATAGGGCAGTCAGAGAGGAACTCCTTGGGGAAAACAAAGCCAGTCATCTAGACAGTAAAAAAAAAAAAAGCCATCATTGTGCCACACAGAGATAGCTGCAAGATGGTGGAGGGCTAGATAAAAATCCATTTTGGTTTTTACATTTAAGTCATTTAGCAGACACGTTAATCCAGAGCGATTTACAGGATCAGTTAGGCTTAAGTGCCTTGCTCAAGGGCACATACAGATTTTTCACCTAGTCGGCTCAGGGATTCAAACCAGCAACCTTTGGGTTACTGGCCCAACGCTCTTGACCGCTAGGCTACCTACATGATTAGTTGATTTATATTCTAAATAAGGACCGTAGTCCCAGTTTGATTAATGCTTGTTTTGCAATGTCATGATTCATGAGTGTGCACTGACCTTGACACACTACAACACATTAGCATGCAATGTTTGGAAAGGGGAGCAGTGTTTTACAGAGCAGCGCTGACCACAACTACGTCAGATTACATTTGAGGCAGAACGGATATTTAACCCTTTCAATGGAGCGTGAAAACAATGGAGGAGAATGGGATTTACTTCAGATTTGCTTGTCAGGCAGTATAATGAACCAATGCGGTGAGTCACTGTAGCATTTGGGTAGCGGAGGACGCAGATCCCGAGCGATCTGCCTCCCAATGGTCTGAGCTGAGAGGTCAGGCATCAGGGGAGGCAGGTCTGTCAAGCAGAAGATCCTGTGTTTCACTGCGAAATGGCTCCCTGACTAAGGCAAAGAGACTGCCTTGCGGCTCCTTTCACAATATACAGGAGCAGAGTGGAATTCAAAATGGAGAGAACCTGAGGGGCATTAGTTTGCAGAATCAGACTTTTTACGTGTTGGGATTGCTTTGCACTGGAACATAGCCCTCTCAATCTAATTGTTGTATGACTGTTTCTGGACCAATGCTGGATGATGGTTTGAGGGTCTTGAGTTGTATTTGAAAGGTGGTGAATAAGGGCATATGACATAGCCGTAAATAGGATTGCTAGTGGTCAGTGGCCGTCTTTGATGTTCTTTGCAAGCCCCAGTGTTAGGGATCCCAATTTGAAGCAGAAAAGTTGGAGATTTGTTGGAATGCTTTACTGCGATCCATTTTCAACTGTTTATAATATTCTTCTGTGTCTGCATATTTTCTCTGTGCACATTACTCATCAGAATAAAAAAAGGAACTATGAAAACCTCGACCAACTGTCCTATGACAACAAGCGAGGACCTAAGGTATATTTGCATGGTCAATGCACGCCGCCCACCAACTTTCCAAACGTAGCAACTAGAAACCAGCCCAACCAGTCACCAGCCGACCCAGAAATGCCCCTATCTTGGTAGCACGTGTTTCTTTTTACTTTGAGACATTATTCCTATGATTTCACCGAAGAATGGTTTTGTTATGGAAAGACTATAATTTTCCGTAAAAAAAATAAACAAATGAACAGCGCTCCGCTTCAATCATATTAATTTTTTTCTTTCAACTAAAGGAATGCATGTTCTCAAAAAAAAAAAAAAGATTGCAAGTTTATTCCTTTGTGGAGATCCGGTAGTGTGGGACAAAACACTTTCCCAGATTACTACTCCCTCCTGTTTTGTAGCACCTCTAGTTTCCAACAGTTTTTTGTTGGGGGGAAGGTTCCCCCTCACTCCCCTTCACCTGTTTTTAGTTACTGGTTGCATTGACCTTCTTCTCCCCCCTACCTAACATGCACGTCTTTCTTTGGAGCCTTGATAACCCTCAGTTTGCATGCGAAAAATGCAAACTTTTTTTCCCCTCCAAGCTTTTTTTTTAGTTGAGCCGACTTCCCTGGATCGCTTTCCTTTTTTTCTTCTCTCCCTTTTTCAACAAAAATCAACAAAACCGAGCAAAACAGGTAAAGCGACAGCATGGTTTCTGAGGTGGGGGTAAGTAGCTGGCTTGACTTATTTTGTGCCCCGATCACAGGCAGAGAAAGTCCTCCAGTTCAGCCAGGAGACTAACTTAACTGCTCTGCTTCTGGAGGCCAAAGAGCTGGAGGCTCGCGTCATCATCCTCTCCGCCAGGTGAGACCTTCCTACAGTACCTCCCACTTGTCCCATCAGGCCCTTCCCATCAAACAGCCCCTCCCACTTGTCCCATCAGTCCCCTCCCATCATAGCTGACCTGCCTCTACTATTGAATCTAGTCCATTCTGATCACAATCCTTAACCCAAAAAGTAATTTTCCCAACTCCTAATTAGACCACAACTGGATTTACTATGACTTATATTTGACACTTTTTACATACTTTTACTGCTAAATGCTGGCATGATATCAAACAGTAGTGATTCACTGCAATGATTTGCATTTAGATTAAAGATAAGTAACCATGCCTGTGCCACTTAACATCTCTGTTTTCAGTGAAGAGGACGCTGCTGCAGTTTACAAGGCTGCCCGTTTCCTCAACATGACGGGCTCGGGTTACGTGTGGCTGGTGGGAGAGCGGGAGATGTCGGGTAAAGCCCTGAGCGAGGCGCCAGACGGTACGTACCATACGCCGCTACCCAACAGCCACTCGGAAAACACTTCATAACGCTAGCCTTTTTCTGGAGTCACCTTTCATTTAACCTCTATGATTAGGGAGATAAACATATAGATTAATGCTTCGTTGTTAACAATGTATCATGTGTGATCAATTGTTGAGTGTTAAGCATTTAAACGTTTAAGCATTTGATATGTTTAAAGGTTTTAAATGAGTCACAGTAGTTTACACTATAAGCTCTTAAACAAAATGTTAATATAGTGTTAGGTCCTGTGTCTCCGAACCTATTTATTTATCTATAGTCATAACTATTGATAGGTTAACCCATACATCCAAAGCTTTGCGCGCAGGCTTTATTGTACTATCCTGATATATTAATAGCTTGGTTCTCATGAGTTTATAAAGGGTGTTTTGCATTCCCCACATTGAAGTGTAACTGAAATAGAATGGTAAGCTACAATGGTCTTGCTTATGTCCTGGAGTCTGCACAAGTCTCACGTAATATGTCACTTTGTGGTCACAAACGTAAGCGTCAACCCCAGGCACTCCAACACCCCCTACCCCCATTGTCCTACGTTAGGTGGTGTCACTCCTACGTAACATTCATCACGCAGTGCAGACGGTTAGTAGCGCTATCTGACGTAAGACAATGACCCGACCCTTGCAGAAAATTATTTGTCAGTCATGTCTAGGGTTGCAAAGCTACCAGTAATTTACAAAAGTTACAGGTACTGTATCTTCAGTAACTTTTGTAATTAACAGAAAATCTATGGCAATCTATCGTAATTTTGGTAATTTATCCATGACTTTCCAGTAGATAGACCATATGGTTAAAGAGAAAATAGCCTAAATAATTAAAAAAGCATCTAATCAACAATGCCATTATTTTCAATTACCTGTGCAACTCATCCAACTATTGACTGCCACCAGTTTGATGCCAAAACATTGACAACAAATAAATATTGACATAGTAAAATAAATCAAAGTGTGTAAAAAATTCATGCTGAAACCTTAATATTAAACACCCAATGGTATTCACTAAGTTGATGGTTTATATTTAAGATGCTTTACAGCTTTGTCATTCTATTTTGATTTTAAAATCAAATTATTTAATTATTTCATATACACTATTTATACAAAAGTATGTTGACACCCCTTCTAATTAGTGGATTTGGTTATTTCAGCCACACCCATTGCTGACAGGTGTATTAAATCGAGCACACAGTCATGCAATCTCCATAGACAAGTATTGGCGTTAGAATGGCCTTACTGAAGAGCTCAGTGACTTTCAACGTTGCACCGTCATAGAATGCCACCTTTCCAACAAGTCAGTTCGTCAAATTTCTGCCCTGATAGAGCTGCCCCGGTCAACTGTAAGCGCTGTTATTGTGAAGTGGAAATGTCTAGGAGCAACAATGGCTCAACCGCGAAGTGGTAGGCTACACAAGCTCACAGAACCGAACCACCGAGTGCTGAAGCACATAGCGCATAAAAATTGTCTGTCCTCGGTTGCAACACTCACTACCGAGTTCCAAACTGCCTCTGAAAGCAACGTCAGCACAATAACTGTTCATCGGGAGGGAGCTTCATTTAATTAGTTTCCATGGCTGAGCAGCCGCACACAAGCCTAAGATCACCATGCGCAATGCCAAGCGTCGGCTGGAGTGGTGTAAAGCTCGCCGCCATTGGACTCTGGACAAATCTGTGTTTGGCAGATGCCAGGAGAACGCTACATGCCCCAATGCATAGTGCCAACTGTAAAGTTTAGTGGAGGAGGAATAATGTTCTGGGGCAACAGTTTGGGGAAGGCCCTTTCCTGTTTCAGCATGACAGTGTCCCCGTGCACAAAGCGAGGTCCATATAGAAATGGTTTGTTGAGATCGGTGTGGAAGAACTTGACTGGCCTGCACAGAGCCCTGACCTCAACCCTATCGAACACCTTTGGGATGAATTGGAACACCGACTGCGAGCCAGGCCTAATCCCCCAACATCAGTGCCCGACCTCACTGATGCTCTTGTGGCTGAATGGAAGCAATCCCCGCAGCAATGTTACAACATCTAGTGGAAAGCCTCCCCAGAAGAGTGGAGGCTGTTATAGCAGCAAAGGGGGGAGCCAACTCCATATTAATGTCCATTATTTTGGAATGAGATGTTCAGGTACCCACATACTTTTGTTCATGTAGTATATTTTACATGTGATAAGGCCAGAGAGAGAGAGCCAGAGATAATTACAAATGCTTGTGATAATCTGAAGTACCCAAAAGGGCCACTAGATGTCTTCTGATAGATTACATAAAATCCTTGAAAGATATTGCAATTCTGGTAGTTTACTGGTGAACTAGTAGTATACCAGTAATATACCCCCCCCCCCCCCCCCCCCCCCCTTTGCAACCCAAGTCATGTCCATGTCTCAGCACCTGTTGCTGTCTTAAACTCACCTCTGTGCCTTCTTTCAAGAGTCTGCAAGACTACCGGACCAATTGCAATGAGAAAACTTAGCTGAAGTTGGATTGTTAATGTGATTTGTATATCAATTCTCTAATACAGTTGATGTAAGTTTGTTTGGTCCCACACATACACTATAGCTTTCTGCTTCTGGTATTTTCCAACCTAACCCCTATAAAATGGGTGATATAAATGAATCGATCCAACTTCAAGGGACTCTTTTTTTCATGCTGGGCAAAGTTCACTAACAACCTCAAAATATGAATCCATTCCTCTCTGATGATGTTGCCTTTTCTCAGAAAGGAATAAAAAGAAAATCAGCTCAAATCAATTTTGATCAAGATGAAGTTCATTCTTCAAAGACTTCCTGTGCTTGTTGGTTCCAGTACTGGATGATTAAAATTGCTTTCACAAATAGAGCAACAGAGAGCATGGTGCTGGATCAAAAACTTGCGGTTGGACCTTTCCTCAGGATGGCTGAACAAGAGGCTCCTATAAGTTTTTATTGTGTGTATTGCAAAATGATCCTGATGGTTGGTAGTCTAGCAGGTCACTGATTGGCTTTGTTCTGCTGTCGGTGTGATGTGAGCAGGTCTCATCGGCCTCCAGCTCATCAACGGCAAGAACGAGTCGGCCCACATCAACGACGCAGTGGCCGTGGTGGCCCAGTCCATCCAGGAACTCTTTGAAAAGGAGAACATCACAGAGCCGCCCAGAGGCTGTGTGGGAAACACCAACATCTGGAAGACCGGGCCCCTCTTCAAAAGGTACATTTATAAAAATAAAAAAATGTGGCGTGGGATAAGGGGGGGGGGGGGGGGGTAGAAGGATTACTTTATCCTATCCCAGGTATTCCTTAAAGAGGTGGGGTTTCAAGTGTCTCCCGAAGGTGGTGAGTGACTCCGCTGTCCTGGCGTCGTGAGGGAGCTTGTTCCACCATTGGCGTGCAAGAGCAGCGAACAGTTTTGACTGGGCTGAGCGGGAACTGTGCTTCTGTAGAGGTAGGGGGGCCAGCAGGCCAGAGGTGGATGAACGCAATGCCCTCGTTTGGGTGTAGGGACTGATCAGAGCCTGAAGGTACGGAGGTGCCGTTCCCCTCACAGCTCCGTAGGCAAGCACCATGGTCTTGTAGCAGATGCAAGCTTCAACTGGAAGTCAGTGGAGTGTGCGGAGGAGCGGGGTGATGTGAGAGAACTTGGGAAGGTTGAACACCAGACGGGCTGCGGCGTTCTGGATGAGTTGTAGGGGTTTAATGGCACAGGCAGGGAGCCCAGCCAACAGCGAGTTGCAGTAATCCAGACGGGAGATGACAAGTGCCTGGATTAGGACCTGTGCCGCTTCCTGTGTAAGGCAGGGTCGTACTCTGCGAATGTTGTAGAGCATGAACCTACAGGATCGGGTCACCGCCTTGATGTTAGCGGAGAACGACAGGGTGTTGTCCAGGGTCACGCCAAGGCTCTTTGCACTCTGGGAGGAGGACACAACGGAGTTGTCAACCGTGATGGCGAGATCATGGAACGGGCAGTCCTTCCCCGGGAGGAAGAGCAGCTCCGTCTTGCCGAGGTTCAGCTTGAGGTGGTGATCCGTCATCCACATTGATATGTCTGCCAGACATTTAGAGATGCAATTCGCCACCTGGTTATCAGAAGGGGGAAAGGAGAAGATTAATTGTGTGTCGTCTGCGTAGCAATGATAGGAGAGGCCATGTGAGGATATGACAGAGCCAAGTGTCTTGGTGTATAGCGAGAATAGGAGAGGGCCTACAACTGAGCCCTGGGGGACACCAGTGGTGAGAGCACGTGGTGCGGAGACAGATTCTCGCCACTCCACCTGGTAGGAGCGACCTGTCAGGTAGGACGCAATCCAAGAATGAGCCGCGCCGGAGATGCCCAACTCGGACCGGGTGGAGAGGAGGATCTGATGGTTCACAGTATCAAAGGCAGCAGATAGGTCTAGAAGGACGAGAGCAGAGGAGAGAGAGTTAGCTTTAGCAGTGCGGAGAGCCTCCGTGACACAGAGAAGAGCAGTCTCAGTTGAATGACCAGTATTGAAACCTGACTGGTTTGGATCAAGAAGGTCATTCTGAGAGAGATAGCAAGAGAGTTGGCTAAAGACGGCACGCTCAATAGTTTTGGAGAGAAAAGAAAGAAGGGATACTGGTCTGTAGTTGATGACATCGGAGGGATCGAGTGTAGGTTTTTTTGAGAAGGGGTGCAACTCTCACTCTTTTGAAGACGGAAGGGACATAGCCAGCAGTCAAGGATGAGTTGATGAGCGAGGTGAGGTAAGGGAGAAGGTCACCAGAAATGGTCTGGAGAAGAGAGGAGGGGATAGGGTCAAGCGGGCAGGTTGTTGGGCGGCCGGCCGTCACAAGTCGCAAGATTTCATCTGGAGAGAGAGGGGAGAAAGAAGTCAAAGCATAGGGTAGGGCAGTGTGAGCAGGACCAGCAGTGTCATTTGACTTAACAAACGAGGATCGGATGTCGTCAACCTTCTTTTCAAAATGGTTGACGAAGTCATCCACAGAGAGGGAGGAGGGGGGGGAGGGGAGGAGGATTCAGCAGGGAGGAGAAGATGGCAAAGAGCTTCCTAGGGTTAGAGGCAGATGCTTGGAATTTAGAGTGGTAGAAAGTGGCTTTAGCAGCAGAAACAGAGGAAGAAAATGTAGAGAGGAGGGAGTGAAAAGATGCCAGGTCCGCAGGGAGTCTAGTTTTCCTCCATTTCCGCTCGGCTGCCCGGAACCCTGTTCTGTGAGCTCACAATGAGTCGTCAAGCCACAGAGCAGGAGGGGAAGACCGAGCCGGCCGGGAGGATAGGGGACATAGAGAGTCAAAGGATGCAGAAAGGGAGGAGAGGAGGGTTGAGGAGGCAGAATCAGGAGATTGGAGGGAGAAGGATTGAGCAGAGGGAAGAGATGATAGGGTGGAAGAGGAGAGAATAGCGGGAGAGAGAGAGTGAAGGTTGCGACGGCGCATTACCATCTGAGTAGGGGCAGAGTGAGTAGTGTTGGAGGAGAGTGAGAGAGAAAAGGATACAAAGTAGTGGTCGGAGACTTGGAGGGGAGTTGCAGTGAGATTAGTAGAAGAACAGCATCTAGTAAAGATGAGGTCAAGCGTATTGCCTGCCTTGTGAGTAGGGGGGGAACGGTGAGAGGGTGAGGTCAAAAGAGGAGAGGATTGGAAAGAAGGAGGCAGAGAGAAATGAGTCAAAGGTAGATGTAGGGAGGTTAAAGTCACCCAGAACTGTGAGGGGTGAGCCATCCTCAGGAAAGGAACTTATCAAGGCGTTAAGTTCATTGATGAACTCTCCAAGGGAACCTGGAGGGCGATAAATGATAAGGATGTTAAGCTTGAATGGACTAGTGACTGTGACAGCATGGAATTCAAATGAGGAGATAGACAGATGGGTCAGGGGAGAAAGAGAGAATGTCCACTTGGGAGAGATGAGGATTCCTGTGCCACCCCCCGCTGACCAGATGATCTCGGGGTATGCGAGAACACATGGTCAGACGAGGAGAGAGCAGTAGGAGTAGCAGTGTTTTCTGTGGTAATCCATGTTTCCGTCAGCGCCAAGAAGTCGAGGGACTGGAGGGTAGCATAGGCTGAGATGAACTCTGCCTTGTTAAACTACAGCGGTTCAATGTTTTCTAGGAATAGACTAACTTAGTTTATTCAGCTAGCTAACTTGGTACAGTATTCTTCCGTGAAAACCGTCCAGGGCACCGAATCCTATGACGCCATAGCCAACCTTCATGCCAGCCTCCAATAACACGGTTTAGCACCAATACTCGGTTACAACAAACCACCAGTGTGTTAACACGCCAAGCAGATCATTCGTGTCCGTGTCTAACGTTGTGTAAAGTTTTGGGTTAGTTTTGACAGTTTGAGTATATAAATTCATTATATACTGTAATTCAGGATGACACACACAAACACACACACACACACACACACACACACACACACACACACTTTCTCACTCTATTTCCCTACACTCTCACACTCACATCTACTTTAATTTCTCTGTCTCAGGGTTCTGATGTCATCAAAGTACCCAGAGGGCCTCACTGGACGTGTGGAGTTCAATGACGATGGCGACAGGAAGTACGCTCACTACAGCATTCTCAACTACCAGAAGAGTCGACTCATTCAAGTTGGGATTTATAATGGAACACAGGTAACTTTATGGCAAAAGTCATTCTCACTGTGATCTTGCTATCTATTGCTATTACAGCTCTCTATTAAGCAGTATGCATGGTAATTAGAAAGCAGTGGTGTTATTAGCTAGATGCTGAGCTGTAGCTAAAGCAGATGACTCTTTAGTATTGGACTCCCCTGTGTTTGGCCCTCATCAGCTCCACACATTATGTCAGCACTCCTCTAATGGTGGTGTTATGACCCTATAGGTGGTGATGAATAATCAGAGGAAGATCATCTGGCCGGGAGGAGAGACAGAGAAACCGCGGGGCTTTCAGATGTCCACAAGACTAAAGGTACCGCATTTCACCCTCCACAAACAATGATGTTCCCAATATATATATAAAGTAAAGCAACGCTTTATATCTTACAGAATCTTCAATGGAATGGGTCTGCGCCGGATTCTACTATTCTTTCTCTATCCTTCTCTCTCGTTCTCTCTCGCTCCATCATTTCTACCATGGGTGTGTGTGTGTTTTATGTGTTCCTTGAGGAGGGGTTGTTGTCCGGAGGACTGGTGATTTAAAGGTCCCTCAGGGTCAGTGTGTGCTAAATGCCCACTGTGTGATAAACAGCGTTCTCTCCCGTCTGTTATAGATAGTGACTATACACCAGGAGCCCTTTGTGTATGTGAAGCCCACTGAGCAGGATGGAACCTGCAAGGAGGAAAAAACATTAAATGGAGTGGCAGATATTAAAAAGGTGATCTGCACAGGACCAAATGAGACCATCCCAGGTAACACAACAGGGACGTTTATGATATCACTGTGCTTTTACCATGCCCGCTAAGTACCAACTGGAGATGCATACATATATATACAGTAGGTATCTATATATGTATGCATGTAGCTGAGTGTGCCTTTGTGTGATTGTTGGCATATTGGTGTGTGTGTGTGTGTGTGTGTGTGTGTGTGTGTGTGTGTGTGTGTGTGTGTGTGTGTGTGTGTGTGTGTGTGTGTGTGTGTGTGTGTGTGTGTGTGTGTGTGTGTGTGTGTGAGAGAGAGAGTATGTACCGTGAATATGCTTGAGTGTTTGCTTTAATGTTTGCAAACAGTGTGGGCATGTGCCAACCTGTTTTTAGTGTGTGAAGTCTGGTTGCAGTGAACGTGTGTGTAGCTATATTATCGTATGTGTGATTTTGGTTGAACAGTGTGTATGTGTACTGTATGTGTGTTTGGGCATGTCTGGTGTTATTTTAAAATATTTAAAAAGAAAGAGAGGGATTTCTTCCAGATTGATTGTAACTTGCAACCCTCTGCTGGTTGGTTACAGGACGTCCAATTGTACCTCAATGTTGTTATGGATTCTGTATCGATCTACTTATCAAGTTGGCCGGAACCATGAACTTTACCTATGAGGTGCACCTGGTGGCTGATGGGAAATTTGGAACACAGGAGCGGGTCAGTTCCTATAGAAACTCAGAGTTCACTCTAGATAGAAAACCTCACTGGCCAAAAATGTATTGACCAACAATTGTCTATTTACATACATTTATATTAGATTTTATTATGTTAAGTTATGAAGCAAATCATATCTCATATCTCAGAGATGTGCTTTTTGAACTAAGTTTATGTGCTTGTAACATTTAGAAAATTACACAGAATTAACTTATGTTACTGCACTCACAAAAACTGTTTTGTTTGACATAATCACTAACTATCACGAACTAAATCACTAACTAAAAGCAGACCTTTAGCCGAGAGAGCCATGGAAACCTAGGGTCCCACTACATTGGGGACATTAGCTCCGTGTTGGAGGGGCAAGGTGGTGGTGAGAGCTGACCTGCCAGGATCTACTGAACAAGCAAGATGGGCTGAATGGAGATTCTCTGGAGAGCCTTGCTCAGTTACCACATCTCTGAGCCAGAAAAGACCATTCAGACCATTTCTGCTAATATTAATTTGGGTTAAAGGCACAAAGGGTTAAGAGAGGGCTCACTTGTTGTTTCTGTTTCTGATAAAGGACACTTCATTCTGAAATTCATTGTCATGTTGAGTTGGTTGTTAACCCTTTACGTCCACTTACCACAGGTGAACAACAGCAACAAGAAAGAGTGGAATGGCATGATGGGAGAACTCCTGGGGGGTCTGGCAGATATGATCGTTGCCCCGCTGACTATAAACAATGAACGAGCTCAGTACATCGAATTCTCCAAACCTTTTAAGTACCAAGGCCTAACCATCCTTGTTAAAAAGGTATGTCCCCGAGTTCCCCCCAAAATGTATGAAAACGAATTGAAAGTTCACACAGACTATACCTGATTTAGTCCTCATTGCAGATGGGGTGGTAGTAGACTGCAAGTGGTTTGTGAATGACTGTCTGTGCTGTGTGTTACAGGAAATCCCTCGCAGTACACTGGACTCGTTCATGCAACCGTTTCAGAGCACACTGTGGCTGTTGGTGGGTCTTTCGGTGCATGTGGTGGCGGTGATGCTTTACCTACTAGACCGGTTCAGGTACAAGGGGATCCATGTGTGTCCATCTGTCTATCTGTGTGTGTGTACGTGTGTGTGTGTATATGTGCGTGTGTGTGTGAGACATACTCTGCCTCTGCTTATGCTCCAGACCTCTCCAGATCTTCTCTCACTGTGGACGAGGGGACATAGGTGAAAACTGGCTCCAGTCATTCCACTGCTCTGTTCATCTGGCCTTCTCTTTCTGTTTTCTTTCTGTGCTCTATCTCGCTCTTGCTTTGCCACTCACAGACTCCCTCCCTGTCTGGGGTTGCCAGGGTTTTCGCCTCTGTCCTCTTATGTAAGTCTCACTTCATATCCTGCTCTCTCTCTAGCCCATTTGGGAGGTTTAAAGTAAACAGTGAAGAAGAAGAAGAAGATGCCCTCACCTTGTCGTCGGCCATGTGGTTCTCCTGGGGAGTTTTGCTTAACTCCGGTATTGGGGAAGGTAGGAGAATACTATCACTAAATTTACTAATACAGTAGTTAGTATACTAGCTAGTTAGTGTACTATTTCTGCAAATGCTATACAGATCAGTTTGTGATACTGATACTCACTGGGCAAAACTGGTTGAGTCAATGTTGTTCCCACGACATTTCAACCCCAAAAATGTATGCAATGACGTGGAAAACGAATTGGATTTCCAAAAAGTCATCAACGTAAGGACATTTCCTCTTTTTTTAACCCAACTTTTAACCTAAATCCAATGACATGGTGAAATGTTTTGTTGATTTCAAGTTGAATTCACGTTAGTTGACAACTCAACCAAATGTACATCAAAACTAGACGTTGAACTGACGTCTGTGCCCAGTGGGTATTAACAGTATAAATATTAGTGTTGCATGTCGATAAATAATGTCATATTTGAGAGATGCTACACACACATTCAATATATTGAACCACATTTGATGTCCCATAGAGTGAACATGTTATAACGTTTTATGGGCTTTGCTTATCCAGGCGCGCCGCGCAGCTTCTCAGCGAGAATCTTGGGCATGGTGTGGGCCGGCTTTGCCATGATCATAGTGGCATCGTATACTGCCAACCTGGCTGCCTTCCTGGTGCTGGACCGGCCTGAGGAGCGCATCACCGGCATCAACGACCCGAGGGTGGGCATCAAGAAGTAGTCCTGCTTTAAATACATATAGAGAATCTTTCAGTACACCTCCACCTCCATAACCTGTGGATATTAGGTAGCATACTGTAAAACGTGCAAGTTTAGCGAGGGGTGAAAATACTGTAAAGTACAGTGAGGGAAAAAAGTATTTGATCCCCTGCTGATTTTGTACGTTTGCCCACTGACAAAGACATGATCAGTCTATAATTTTAATGGTAGGTTTATTTGAACAGTGAGAGACAGAATAACAACAAAAAAATCCAGAAAAACGCATGTCAAAAATGTTATAAATTGATTTGCATTTTAATGAGGGTAGTATTTGACCCCTCTGCAAAACATGACTTAGTACTTGGTGGCAAAACCCTTGTTGGCAATCACAGAGGTCAGACGTTTCTTGTAGTTGGCCACCAGGTTTGCACACATCTCAGGAGTGTCAAATGTTTTCATTTTTTCAGACTTACAGAATTGGTCAAGTGTATATGAGTGCTGAATGTAATGTTCCCTCCAACCCTCCCTATCCTTCAACAGCTGAGGAACCCATCAGACAAGTTCATCTACGCCACAGTGAAGCAGAGCTCTGTGGACATCTATTTCCGGCGGCAGGTGGAGCTTAGCACCATGTACCGCCACATGGAGAAGCACAACTACGAGAGTGCTGCTGAGGCTATCCAGGCCGTGCGCGACAAGTGAGTCCCGGCCGGGCCGGCCTGGCCTGGGCGTGTCGGCCGGAACTGGTCAGATAGTCTGTTAGTCAGGTCAGAGAGAGAGAGAGGGCCAGTCAGTCAGACCTGGGGGTTCTGGACCTCTGGATCAGTGAGACACAGAGGGTCTTACTGCAGCGTTCCCTCTGGTCCAGGCCCATCATCCAGCCAAGACAGAACCAGGCTCAGACTCAGAGCAGGGCTGCATGCACTGTGTTAATAGCGTTCTAAAGTTGAGCTAATGTTGAGCTGAGGAGCACCCTTTTTCAGGTTTTATCCAAGACGAGCGTCTTTGAGGTGGGGAATCCAATGGGGGACGCGCCGTCGTCCGTCCGGCATTGGATTTCATTTTTCAAGCGGCGGTAGACATGGCTGGTAATGCTGACTCACACACTTTGTGTGGCCAAAGGGGAGCCGTAAATGTGTGTTGTGACAATCACTGTACTGTTGCACCGTAACCCCCTCCTTCCCCTCCTCCCCCCTGCCTCCCTCCCCCCAACAGCAAGCTGCATGCTTTCATCTGGGACTCTGCGGTGCTGGAGTTTGAAGCCTCGCAGAAGTGCGACCTGGTGACCACGGGAGAGCTGTTTTTCCGTTCGGGCTTTGGCATAGGCATGCGCAAGGACAGCCCCTGGAAACAGAATGTGTCCCTGGCCATTCTCAGGTCTGTCCCAGCACAAGCAGCATTGTTTTTATGTTGTTCTTTTTTTCTCTCTTTTTATTTTCCTTTTTTGACCATCCGACACACCGCTGTGTCAGCTCTCTTCTCTCTCTGTATCTCCCCATTCCTGCCCTTTGTCTGTCTGTTAGACTGTCAGTCTGTATTTTTGTCGTCTGTGTTTCTAGCATTCTGGGATTTCTCTTCTGGAGTGTATGGTTTGGTCTTTTGTTAACTGTCTTACCTCTTTGCCCACTCCCCCCATCCCCTGCAGTTCCCATGAGAATGGCTTCATGGAAGATCTAGATAAAACCTGGGTGAGATACCAGGAGTGTGACTCACGGAGCAATGCCCCAGCCACACTCACCTTTGAGAACATGGCAGGTAGGGTTTCCCTTTTGGGTTTTGAGAAACCTAGAAGTGATTGGACAAAAAATGCAGTGGTAAGGTACTGTAGCCTTTTTTTGTCCAATACCTTTATTTTAATTTTATTTTTTTATGCAAAGTGTGTACTGTTAAAGTTGTTTGTTGTGGGTTACTGTAGTTATACACTGAGTGTACAAAACATTAAGGACACCTGCTCTTTCCATGACATAGACTGACCAGGGGAATCTAGCTGAAAGCTATGATCCCTTTTTGATGTCACCTGTTAAAAACACTTCAATCAGTGTAGATGTAGGGGAGGAGACAGGTTAAAGACGGATTTCTAAGCCTTGAGACAATTGAGACATGGATTGTGTATGTGTGCCATTCAGAGGGTGAATGGGCAAGACAAAATATTTAAGTGTCTTTGAACGGGGTATGGTAGTAGGTGCCAGGCGTTTGTGTCAAGAACTGCAACGCTGCTGTGTTTTTTACGCTCAACAGTTTCCCATGTGTATCAAGAATGGTCCACCACCCAAAGGATATCCAGCCAACTTGACACAGCTGTGGGAAGCATTGGAATCAACATGGGCCAGTATCACTGTGGAACACTTTGACACCTTGTAGAGTCCATTCCCTGACGAATTGAGGCTGTTCTGAGGGCAAAGGAGGGGGGGGGGGTGCAACTCAATATTAGGAAGGTATTCCTAATGTTTTGTACACTCAGTTTCGTTGTTATAGCTGTGATCCTAATATAAACTTGCAAGGTTTGCAGCGGACGGCGTAAAGTGGAAGCAGGTTGAAGAAAGGACGGCAACCGTTGACGTATAGACTAGATTCACACAGACACAGTCATGGTCAGTGGGTTGCGGCTGAGTGTCAGAGTGGCGACTCACCACCCATCCCTGTGTCTGTCTGTCTCTGTCTGACAGGAGTGTTCATGCTGGTGGCTGGAGGCATAGCAGCAGGGATCTTCCTCATCTTTATTGAGATCGCCTACAAGCGGCACAAAGACGCCCGCAGGAAGCAGATGCAGCTGGCCTTTGCGGCCGTCAACGTCTGGAGGAAGAACCTGCAGGTATGGCATCTCTTTCCCCCCGTAAGCACTGGCACCCAGGGGGGAAGGGCAGAGATGGGCTGAGACACGCCCAGCATAGCCCTTCCTGCAGGTTCCTCCAATACAGGTGTACGACCAATCATTTTTTTCCGTCACTATTAGCATCCTGTCTGACCATGTTGCCTACTGGTGATGGTCACTCACGGATTGCTGTGTCACATTCAGTGATGAAGCTGTTCCCAAGGCATTACTATGGCCCACCGTGGGTCTGTCCTCCAGTCCCTTAGACCAACGGCCCCCATGTCTCCTCTCTATGCTGCAGGACAGTAAGGAGGCCTCTGGGAGACAAGCTGTGGGCGCATCGATGACTCCATCGTTAGTACGTAACATAGACAAGAGCCATCTCCACCCCACGTCACCCTTCGCTTTTAGAATAAAAGTTAAGCTAAAATAAAAAGTAGCTCTAACATGAGAAAATGTGAAACAAAAATATGCATTCCACGTTCATGGCATGAGCCAGTTAAGCCTTACGCTTACCTTAGCACGTATGCAACGCAAGAACGCAATTAGCTACGCAAAATGGCCCTTCTGCGTACTTGCGTTGCAAAAATATGCAAAAGTGTGCAGCCCAAAATGTATAATGCAACGCAACTACGCAGAACGGCCATTTTGCGTAGCTAATTGCATTGTTGCATTGCGTACCTGTGTAGGGTATAAATTAGGCTTTATATACTGCTGCTATAACACTTTTAGGCTTTTGTAAGGTCAGATGATGAGGACATGCAAGGGAATAAGGTAATCGATGAAAGTAATTTAACTATGAGATTCTCAGATAAATCTGTCATTTCTGACCCTGACTCTCCTACGCTTGATGTTTATACTTCTCCAGTATTTACATCACTTCATCCCTCAGTATCCCCACCCCCTACAGTGTTTATGAACACTGAACATGAGAGTCCTCTCAGGAAAAGCCTGCGGGTCAGTAACTCATTTCATAACTGTGGCCGTCTAAAGCTAATCAGGCAAAAACCATTCCAGCTACAGTTGAGTTTTGCGCTCGCTCCTCAGTCCGTCTAGTCGCTGAAGAACATGACTTCATTAACTCCAATATCTTCTGCTGTGAAGCGTTGGTGGCCTTCCAACTCCCTCTTTCACCCTTACTTCACATCATCCTGCCCCCCCCGCCCCCACTGCGCTGGCTTTCCAGCAGCAGGAGGAGCGCGGCGTGGGGGTATGAGGGAGGGGGTTGACGGGGGCAGACGAGGCGGCAGTGGACACTGTGAGCCTGTGATGTGGCTCTGGCAGCCTGCCTCCCCATGCTGGCTCTTTGTTAAGCGCTCACAAAAGGTCAGTGGTACACCTGTTGTATTGACAGCAGGGCTGGAGGAAGGTACGGTAAGATCACAGTCTCCAGTGTGTGTCAGCAAATCAATGTCCTTCCGAGACTGTCTGTCATCTACCTTACTACTGGATGTAACTGTTGTCCATGTCTTCATGTGTGTGAACATGTATAGGCACATACAGCAGACAAATGCATGCAGGCGCCCGCTGAGAAAGGAAAAGAACACACAAACTGTTGGTCTATGTAACATCTGTGTTTTAGACAAGGTTTTATTGATACAGTTTATGAATAATTTATGCACTAGTGAACAAAGATGGCTCCAACCATGTAAATCGTACACAGCATGATTCTCAATAGGGACTGGAGCTAATATGGGGTTCACAAATGACCGTTTTCTGCTCTTATTCCTTAAATGGGGCATCATGCTTGGAGTAATATGAATGAGATCATGATTGGAGTAGCAGAAGTGAGGTCATGTTTAGAGTAGTAGAAGTGAGATCATGCTTGGAGTAGTAGAAGTGAGGTCATGTTTAGAGTAGTAGAAGTGAGATCATGCTTGGAGTAGTAGAAGTGAGGTCATGCTTGGAGTAGTAGAGGCGAGGTCATGCTTGGAGTAGTCGAAGTGAGGTCATGCTTGGAGTAGTAGAAGTGTGATCATGCTTGGAGTAGTAGAGGTGAGATCATGCTTCAAGTAGTGGCGGTGAGATCATGCTTGGAGTAGTAGAAGCAAGCAAATCATTGAAGCTAATACAGTATGTTATGAACATTATTCATATTGTCCTCATGTCTCTCGAGGTCATCAATGTGATGACTTACTGAGCTTCAACAGAGGAAGTACAGTATAATACATATTTCACACTATTCAGTGCACAGGGTTGGGTGATAACAGGGTTGGGTGACAGTTTATGTGAACTTCTCCTTTCTCTGTGGGTATCTCCAACTAGGTGTCCAGATGTCAGCATCATTTTGACTGCTTGTGTGTTTGTTGGTTTGTGTGTTTGTATGTTTATATTTGTGTGTGTTTTTATACTTCTGTGCAAATGCAAAGTATTTGTACATGCACGCTTTCCAACACAGGTACCTCCAGAGTATGTGCACTTCTGAATAACCTGTTTGAGTCCGTCATATCCTTCACACTGTTGCTGCTCTGAATTGATTATGCCTTAGTCTCATCTCCAACAACAAACCAACCATGCCAGGGTTGGGCTAAATTCCATTTGGAATTTCAAGTCACTTCCTGAATTGATTGCATTGAATTGGAATTTACCCCAACCCTCACCACCTTTGTTTGCTTGTATCTACTGAAAAAGCACCCTGAACTGAATCTGTCCTCATCCCTAGTTTAAGGGCAGCTACAGTATCTAGCCGTTAGCTTTCTCTGTTGTAGCAAGTCTTATTCAGAAGTGCACTACCTAAAAGTGGAGGAGATATTAGGATTGAGATCAACGAAATGTCAACAAGAACTAATGCACTCCAGTGGCTGTTGTTTCCTATTGGAGACAGGCAGCCGTTGCACATGTGTCCAGTGGGACGCTTTCTCCGTTGGACCAGCATGCTTTGCATGACCGGGACTGTGCAAACGCAGCACTTCACCAGCGGTCAGTGTCGCTTGATGTCATGTGAGACCTGGATAGTCTACGCTGAAAAGTACAAGAAGAAGAAACATTTGACAAAAAAATGAAAAATACTACAGAATAGAAAAAAACAATGCTTTGACTTGCTTGGGCAATGAGCATTGTCTTGTTTCTATCTAAATGTCTCTATGCCTTATTTTTACCTCATTGATGGAGTTTTAACATGAGGTGACTTTGACCATTGACTAACGTCTAGATGTCATCTTCCAACAGGAAATCCATTTTATTTGACTTTTTTCTCACTCAGAACGGAGTGGTGACCTGTCCATCACTCCTCAGCCAATCAGCTCCACCAATCTTCCACACCACCCAATAGAACATAATCTCTTAATGCTGTGGCATTAAGAGACTGGGGATGGTTTGGGTGGTGATGGGTGGCTCAAACAGAGACCCAGTCATGTAACCTGATTACAGGGGATGTTCTGCAGGTCCAGTGCTGGCCTGGGTTGACTGTCATGCTTTATGTTATTTGTCTCCTCCTCTATCCCCTTCCCTTACTGAACCTGCCAAGCTCTTCCCATCCTCCCATGCCCCTTTCTGCATGCTCTCAGCTGATATTCACACTGCCCCGCCCTGCCTTGAGGGCCTCCCCATACCCTACGACTAATTCACCTTACTCTACATCTCTTACCCATCCATCTAGGCCTAGGGCCTCCCTAACCCCTACGACTAACACATCCTACTTTCTACATCTCTTACCCATCCATCTAGGCCTAGGGCCTCCCTAACCCCTACAACTAACACATCCTACTTTCTACATCTCTTACCCATTCACCTAGCTAACCATCCACACCCAGACCTTACAACAACATGGCCAAAACCTCTCATACTACCTACCTACCTCACCAAAATCTCTCGTACTTCTCCATTCCAGCCCCAATCCCTGCTCTAACTCCATTTACTAGTGTACTGTAGATAGTACATATACTATTCCATATACCACCACCCCACTCTTTAAACCATCTATTTCACTCCCTAGGGTGTGGGGGGAATTTCCATTATACCTGACCACAGGTATAATGACTCTAGGGGATTAAATGATATACTACCTATCTGTTGTTGTTTATCTTATGTTGGAATGCATTTTAGTGGCTCACCTGCCTTGAAGAGCACCTTTCTTTATGACTGCATGGCTTTCAATGTGGTTGTTTCCTTTGCTAGCTTTTCTACTCGCTCGTTTGGTTCCCTTGGCTTTGCTTCTGGATCTTAAAGTAATAACGATCTAATAGCAAGACGACGGATGTTTATTTATTTTTTCTTTTCTCCCCCCTACGCAGCCCTCTTCCTCTCTAGAGACTCAGGATGTAAGAATACCTTAATATGAGCTTTTGCACACAAACACTCTCTCTGCCATGTACCTATAGAGGACTGAGAGTAGCTGTGGGTCATTTTGATGGGATGAGGGAGGGAAGAAATTCAACTGATGTGTGAATATCATGTAAGGATATGGTTAAAATGGGTTTGGGAATAAATGGGAGGGACTAACAAGCTTTTCTAGACCTTGGACAGGGGTTTGAACCTCCAATGAATACAGTTGATTCTGTTGACTGTGACATATCATAGACATGGTATACCGGCTATTTTGTTGTTCCTCAGACCTGGCTAATGTTTATTTTCTCTTTGAAAGGGTGTGTGTCTTGGGTGAAGGGGGTGGAGGTGACTATTTGATGTATGGGTGTGTGCGGGTTGGAGTGAGTATGTGAGTAGGATGTAGTGGATGGTCAAAGCAGCATAGCACAGGTATCGTCAACACATGCTCCTCAAACCATTCCAATGCATTTCTAGAGACATGGGGGTGTTTGGATGTGTCAGTGCTTGGCTAAGGATTTTCCATCATGTCCAGTCCCACTATGGTGAAATGGCCTAGCCGACAGTGTAGAGGCATTCTTACATGATTGGACAGACTACAGTCCCAGTCCCACCCTTGAAAGCGGAGCAAATCTCCTGTTGCCTCCCATGTCCAATAGAGACTACTTTGGGCCAGGACATTCACCCTCATATCGCTTCAGACAGTGAAAGGGAAGGGGGAGGGATGGTGTGGAGAGAGGGAGAGTGGGAGAGTGGGTGGATGGGTGAGACTGAGACCAAGGTATCACTCCACCCCAAGAATATGAATAACTGTTCTACATATATTTATTTTAGGATAGGAAAAGTGGTAGAGCAGAGCCCCCCGACCCCAAAAAGAAAGCCTCTTTTAGGTCCATCAGTACCTCCCTGGCCTCCAGCATCAAGAGACGTAGGTCCTCCAAAGACACGGTAAGGAGATGAAGAAGGGAACATCATCTTCCCTTACTCTTCCCTCTCTTCTCTCTTTTTCTCTACCTCTGTCTCCTCTTCTCTCTCAATCTCTCCCTCTTTTTCCTGTCTTTTCTACCGCCATTCCCATCTCTTAATTGCCAGAGAGCCCCATTCCTCTCACCCATCTTACATGGCTCAGCAGCAGCCATGGCCACATGTCTGTCAGTCTGCCATCGATCAGCCATCCAACCAGACGCCATCTGTAGGCAGACAGGATGCAGGATGCTAGGCAGCAGTGCAGGATGAAGAGCAGGTCAGGGGTTGGAGCTGGTGTGCTGGCTGTGGGGAGAGCCAATGCAGGGCCAGGCTGGGCTGGCTTCATGGGATTAGTGGGTGTAGTTTTGGAGGAGGGGGCAACGCAGCAGTCTGTCTTGCTTGTTTGGGCTGCTCTTCCTTCCTGCCAATGATATGGACGTGGTTTTGACCAATTTGTCTCTTGGTGATTTTGTAGTGTGTGTATGTGTGTGTAATTGTGTTTATCTCTTGTTCCTTTGATTGCCTGATCCTGTTCAATCCATCTTTTATACACTTAAATCCCGCACCTCTTCTCGTTTTGTTTCAGTTGTTGTTGGTTTTGATTTCAAAGCATGCGCCAACGTCCTGCCATTTGCCAAAGTCAGTCAACCGTTCTGGAAACAAACTAACATGTCTATTTTTACCAACAGACCATCTATTTCAGGGTTTTCCTCATGGAGTCGTGTTATTAGATCTAGTCTGTCTACTTTTGATTTGTCATGTTTACTTTGTCATGTTTGTAACCATATTGTCTGACGAAAGGCTTTATTTCAATGTCCTTGTAGTGTCCATTTTGCATGCCTTTTAGGGTCTATTTCTAGGTGGTGAATGCAGGTGATTCTTTTGTGTCTTCCTCTCTTTGCCGCCTTTCTCGGCTTGAGATTCTTTGAAACATCACGCTTTTATTGTGTCAGCAGCTTAGACCCACTGTAAAAAGAACTCAGGCCTTATCTACCTCTCTTTCTATGGGGGCCTTGCTGCAGCACAATAAGAAAGTGATGCTCTCTCATTTCCTCCACAGTCCATTTGGAAGGGCCTGCTCATTGCTGGTGGGGATGCTCCTCCACAGTGGCCTGACAATCGAGTGACCTGCAACGTTCTCTGTCCTGCTGTTCACCCAGACAGAGCAGGCTGATGTCCAAATCTGAGTTACCAGCTATGCTCAATCCGGATTTAGCTTAGAGTTTCACAGTAGATATCAAAGCCTTTTGTTTTCCCTTTACTTACTGGCCCAATCAAACCTGTCAAAAAGGGCTCTCTTGGTCTGTGTTTCTGTTTGATTTCTCTATTTCTTTCCCTCTGTCTTATATATAGTGTCTCTGACATTTATATTAATGTCACTTCTTTGATCCATATCAATACTTACTCTCTCCTGGAGTTTTTGGTCTCAACTATTGGAATGGAGAAGACGGAATGACCATTGTTGCTGTTTGTGTGAGGGTTGGGATGGTGGTTTTGGAGTTACCATGCTCTTACACACATCCATGGTGAAAAAGAGAGACCACATAGGTTATAACAAGATTATAACCAAAGATGTACCATCCTCAGTCTTTGACTATTATTTTGATTTTATATAAGTGTTCTTCTTTTATATTAATGGTTATCAATGGACTTTTGAGTGTCAGTGTCCCTCACCCACATGCCACACTGCTCCTCTCTCCCTCTACAAGCATGTGAATTAATGTTATTGTTGTCAGTAGTAGTAGTAGTAGTAGTAGTAGTAGTAGTAGCCGTAGTAGTTCAGAAGTCATTGTGGTAGTGGCCATTAGTAGTGATGTATAGAAGTCTCTCTCTTTTGCTGGTCCACCTTCGGCCAGTAAGGGGTGCTCTAAATGATCCCACTAACAGCAGGCCCCGAAGTAGGCCCACATGTGGACATCTAAACAGGGGTTGTAAGCCTTGTGAGGATGCAACTCTTAGATCTAAGTGATAAGTCCCTTGTAACTATTAGTAAAAAATCATCAGTGTTTTTTATCTGTATTACCCTATGATGATGTTGACCCTTGACTTAGCGTGGTAGTTGCATCATAACAATATGCTTGAATGCTTGAAGAAAAGCATCAACACAGCTTAAAATGAGAGACACAATCATCAACACCTAAAATAATCGTTTGAATTAGCTGATTTGCGAAATTGACAGGGAAAATTATTTCATCAGAAACTACATTTTTGATTTTTGTGAAGATGGATGGAGGTACATGGTGGATTATGATTGGCTTGTACTGAAATGTTCCTGTTCTGAAAAGGAAGACCTCTTATAGTAGAAAAACATGTTTAAGCCATTTGTCTTATCACAGTTTGAAGAAGTGTTGTGAATCAGGTTTCTCCAACTTTTATACTATAAATCAGAATCCATGGCAAAGTAAGTTGGATTTTGATTTGACATGCTGGAAACAACGCTGATGAAAACAGTATGTCTCGTAGAGAGCATGATTCAGCACAGTGGTATGGTATGGAATTATAGGAAGGCAACAAACTTCACAAAAAACAATCCCTATATTTTGCAAGATCAGTTCATGGCCATATTTGCAATGGATAAGGAACAATCCACAGCAATTGCAGTGGTTAGTGATGCTGCCTCTTTGTCAATTGCTAAAGGAACCATCCTTACCATTTTCAAGTATGTTACCTGCCATCAAGCCCATGGCAAATTACACAATCAATGACATTAGGTTACACAATCTCAAAGTCACAGTTGCCATAGTAACTGAGCACCTGCATGGATCTGGGTATGTTACTACCCAGCACTGTAGATGCCCATTAAAACCAACCACTCTGCTCCTCAGAAGGAGTACAGTGAAATATGGCCTGGAAGTAAGAGTCCAACTGTACAGCGATGTGAACCAGCCCAGATTGCACTGGGGCTTAATCATAATTCATATTTATCTCTCAGCTTAGCTGCTAAAAATAAAACCCGGTCTGCATTCAAATGACTGTGGGTAAAACAAGCTGTCTTATTTTATCCAAGGGGGTAAATGATTGCCAAGTCAGTCATGTAGGGTTGAGATTACCTTTGGCTGATTCAAATGTGCTCTACCCTCTGGGCCTTACCTCCACTCCACTGTAGTCATATGATAACCCTCCTCAGGCAGAGCAAGCAACTAACACATGTATTTTCATGGCTGTACTGTACTAATCTGTGGACCCGACAATGGAACCAAAATGTTTCCATCTTTCCTAACCACACTGCCTTTGGGGGGTTATAAAACACCTCTGCTTTGATGATTTTGACTGAAATGGAGCAGAGGTGTTATTATCTATAGCAGTTCTGTTTAGGGATTTTGTAGGGGACTGACTGTGGCTCTGTTTTTCTCATGTTCTCTCCATCTCTGCAGCAGTACCCACCCACCGACATCACGGGCCAGCTCAACTTGTCCGACCCATCTGTCAGCACGGTGGTGTGAGAGGGACAGAAGGAGAGAGAGATTCTCTACTCGGAGAGAGAGAGAGAGAGGGTGGGTGGACGGAGAGAGCCATCCCCCAGATCGCTGCATTGTTGGATCCATCACTGCTGAAGCTTTTTGTCCCGTTGGCTTTACAGTAGAGCAATGGAGTTACACCTACGTCTGAGAAAGGACTCCCCTGATCATATTCTCTGATCATGGCACCTGTTACAGCTGTCTGGCATTAGTTAGCTCTAGGGTTCTGAGCTTACTGACACATACTGTGTTTTTCTCTATTTTCTCTAGTCATGCTCAATCTATGCTTAAAACAGTCCTATCTTTGTCTAATTTACTTACTGCAGACATAGTGATGTTGGATACTACTACTATTTAAAATATCTACATGATATATTTTACTGTTTTAAAAATCATGTTTAGTTAGATGACTTAAGTATACAAACAAGTGAAGTTCTGTACATATCATTTAACTTACAAGGAGGGACTATAACACACATTATTTCACAGTATTTAGCAGCAGGGGTGGCAGGTAGCCTAGCGGTTAAGCGTTAGTTAGGCCAGTAACCGAAAGGTCGCTGGTTTGAATCTTCGAACCGACTAGGTGAAAAATCTGTTGATGGTCCTTGAGCAAGGCACTTAACCCTAATTGCTCCTGTAAATTGCTCTGGATACTAAATGACTAAAATGTGAACACTATAATAGGTACACTTTGCTGGATAACAACTACAGCATTGTATTAAGAAATACTTATTTGAACTCCATGTTTAAACATTTTAGATATGTCTTTGTTAAATTGGACACGTTTTAATAGTGAGAGCATTTGTGACAATGTAATCCTTTAAAGCAGCAATACTAAAGATGGAAGAATGCATGTATTGTAAATGCATAGATGCAACTGAATATTTATGTAACTAATGATTTGGCCATGGTGTTAATACGGCTACTGCTGTTTGTTGGAATACTCCGTGGCACTTTACAACACACTTAAACCCCTGTTTTCTAATCACTCACAGTTTTCTGAGATACAAAAATTGGGATCTTTGTTTACATTGTATTCTTTGCCCCTTAATCATTTTATAACTGTCTGCCAAATGCATGCTTGTATATATTTTATCCAGCCAGTATTATCCTTTGGTGCCCCTTGAAAACGTTCTGCTTGTAACGTAATGTTCACATTTACCTGTATTTGGTCCAATGAGGTCCTCACACCTTTGGGAAAGTGGCAAAGCTATATTCTTATTTGAAGTGGATTTTCAGTCACTAGGGATTTTCAGTCACTAATCTAGTCGAAACTACAGGAAATACTCTAAAAAAGGGTGCACATTTTTACTTTTGTCCTAGCGCTACACACCTGATTCAAATAACCAACTCATCATAAGCCTTTGATTGGTGGAATCAGGTGTGTAGTCCTAGGGCAAAAACAAAAATGTGCATCCTTTTGGGTCCCAAGGACCTGGATTAAGAGAAACACTGCTCTAAGTCATTGTTATCAGGCATATGTTTCGGAACACCCCTCTCTCGCCCTCTCGCTTTCCTCAGTCTTTCTCATCGCCAGTGTCAAGGGGTTGCATCAAAGGGCCAGGTTTTTCACCCAACCAGCACTTGATCTTTCATGGAAAAACCTCCTCCATGTACACGACAGTCTATCTTCAATTTGCACTTTGAGATCTTTTACATGAAAGGAAACCATGTGAATTGATAACTCTGCTTAACTTGCAGTGTTGGTGCTGTGAGGTTAGGTACAAATATATTGGTTAGATGAAAGAAACGGGCCATTTCCCAGGCTCTGAAGTTGAGAAACAAGTGTGGCATGTTGAAACTAAGACTATGGGACCGTTCTGGCATGGCAATGCACTTTAACCTGAGTGCTTCCCTATACTGTCCCCATCAACAAGGCTGACTGAAATATGATTATACATTCAGTATGCAAGTACATAAAAATTTATATGAATAAGAGTAGAAAACAGCTCACAAGCGAGATCATGGTCTAATTGTTATAGTATGACCCACTGGGCACGAAATGGTTAAATCAACATTGTTTCAACGGAATTTGTCAACGTATTGTGACGTGGAATCTATGTGGAAAATACACTGGATTTGAAAAAGTAATCAACTGTTGTTTTGAGGGTAACATTTCAACCACAGAATTATGTCATCATTGTAACCAATTTTCATTATAGTCAAACCTTGTATAAAATATGTTGAATTTGTACCTTTGAAACAACGTCAGATCTTCAATGTTATATCCACTATCAGAAAAAAACAACAGGCTGGGCTGTACCTCATACTGGAGAGTTGAGGTACAGCCCAGCTACCCGTTGGTCCAGGGTTTTAACCAAGCCCAGCCCTGCTTAGCTTTGATATTGTCCACTGACTATTACCAATGTGCTATCGTGAGAATGATTATTGAGAGATCTCTTAATAGCTAAATAGATTCACTGTTGCTATCAAATTAATTCCAAAGGTCATATAAGCAATGTTCCCAAAAAATGTGAACATTGTGAAAATTCTGTGCAACTTCCAGCACGCGTTTACTGTGAAGACTAAGGCTGTACCCGCTTTAAGTTACAGTTTTAACACTGGCCAAGTAGGCTACTGTGGCTATTTGATCATAATGTAGGCCTACCAGAGTGGCCTACCATCAAAAACAATGGAGAAAATGCATCCCATAACATTTTAACATGGAAATAGCTGTTCTATCATTCAGCCTACAGTAGCAGCCAATGTGTGGTGTTCAATGTAGGCCTACATTCCACATGCAGGGCTTGACATTAACCTGTTTATCCACTTGTCCTTCAGAAAAGGAGGTGACTGAAAATGTTTTTGTGTTGTTTGATGCAAGAAACCACTTTACAAAATAAATTATTATTCCCATACCATTATTACAGAGAATCAGACAAATGATGCTACTCTCTGCCTATTGGCTACTTAGTTTATTCAAACCTGTCTCAAAACTTAAAACTGCCCCTTGGCAAAGGATATGAACAAAATGTGCACAAGTGGCTACATGCAGCTCTTGCTTTGATCTCAAAACAAGCACATCTACTCACGACTACTCATGCTGTAAACACAGTCCAGTTCAAAGTAAACAGCACAGATCCATATATGGCAATGGTCTATTTACATATAGTCCTACTGCAGCTCTGATTGGTTATGCCGCTTGGGTACGGGCTGAGTCGTGCCCAATAGAATCCTACTCCGATGTGGTCTGCCTACAACAAAATATCTTGCATAGTTCGTTTTGTTTCAGTATGTTGCATTGAAAGTGGCTAATATTGCGTTGATTCGACCACAATTGCCACAGTAAAGGGAAACGTTGATAGTGTTAACTAACAGGGAAAACTCTAGACAAACTGGATATTAAATTGTGTTTGGTTGTCAACGCAACCAAATATCAACATTTGAAGGAGATGTATCTTCTGCTTTGGTATTTCCGTCTGTGCCACTGACTTAGTCTGGCTTGAATTCCAGTTTGCCTACAAATAAATAAATACATTGTTGGATTCATGTGCCCTTCTGAACCAAAAATCTAAGTTAAAGAATAGGACTAAATAAAATCAAACTTTAAATGCACTTTAAATAAAGTTTGATTTGATTTAGTCCTATTCTTTAAATTAGATTTTTGTTTTAGATGGAGACAAATATTTGTAGATAAACTGGAATTAAAGCCAGACTAAGTCAGTGGCACAAAATATACATATTTTTCAAACGTTGATATTTGGTTGTGTTGACCAAAACAGTAAATAGCCTAAAGTTAAGGCTATCTTACAAACAAATGTAACAGTATTTATTAAACCTTAAAATGAGTAACACACCCATGGCCACATTGAGGTTACTGTAACTATAAATGTCTTCTTATGTAATCATAGAAAGCTTGCATGTTCAAGATAGCATGCAAAGGTTGCAGGTCTGTGGAGATCTTCACAATTGCTATAATAACATGTGCAGAATCTCAAACAGCATTGATCACTTGCACCATGTTTTTATGTAATCTCAACTGCAATCCAGGTCATTTGTTTGTGCTATTACATTATGTTGTTGTATAAATACAGAATATCTGACATTGTATTCCCATTTGAACTTTGTTGTGCTTTTAAATGGTTGAAAGCGCAGTGATAACACATTTAGATGACAAGTAAACCAAAAATCTGACATTGTTTTTCCATTAGAATTTGGTTGGGCTTTTAGATGGTTGAAAGCATAGTGATAACACATTGGGAATTCACCACATTTCTGGCTGTCTTTTTGAGTGGCTCTCAACCAAATATTACCCAAATGTTCACTTTGAAATGACGTGGTGTGCCCAGTGGGGGGTGTCTCATACAAACAGAAAAAAAGTAATTAATAATTGTATGAATTTGTTTGGTTACAAAGTTTTTGATGAAACATATAGATTGTAGCACTAAAACAGCATTTAGTTTATGAAATTTTATCATTTAAAAAGTTGCTTCTGGTCATGTTCTAATTCTGGCCTATGCATGCTTATGTGTGTTTATCAGTATTGTTTTTTGGTTCTTCAATGCTTATTGATATTGACCATGCAGATTTTGTTTAGTTTTCTGAAATGCATACTTTAAGTGCAATGTAAATAGAATCTGGTTTGTTATTGATGAGGATGAGGAGACTGACATTCTAGTACCACAAGTGCAATACAATGTCACACATACACACACACACACACACACACACACACACACACACACACATAGAGAGACACACACACACAAACACACACTCACACACTTTACACATTTTGAAGTTTTACCTCCTCAATTACGAAGATGATCTAAAAAAGATTTTCAATGAAATTATCTTGTTTGTATAGATGCACTTGTAAATAAAATGAACCTATTGCCAAATGCAATCAGAGATGCTTTTGTTTATGCAGCTTAGCCTACTACACACATTGCAATCTATATTTTCTGCTGACACTCAGAGGGTGCGTTTGGGTTAGTTTGCTTGGCACGTCGGATGAGCGTAGACATGATATGGTATGTTATGGTCTGTTAATTTAGTGTGAACCCAATCCAGACGGCGAGCGGGCGTGTTAAATCAAGCGCACTCTTTTTCAGTGGCCGCAGGTGGGGGCTAGGACCGTAGGATGCTGTCGTGCCTGCTCAGGAAGAAGATTTCCAAGTGGGTGTGGCTTAAGTTTTATGCCTATTGTTGTTTTTTCAGAAGAGACGGGTCATGAATCGTGTTTCTAGTTAGGCATATGGCACGATTTTAGAGCGAAAATAGGCCTATACATGTGATGCCACCAGATTCCACCGTCGACACCTGTTTGCAGATGAACCTCATCACCTGAGTTCTGGAGTTTGTAAGGTAAGAAGCTTGACGAATTTGGCACTAAGTTAAGTTTTACTTTACTTTCATACACCCAAGTACTTCTCTGCAGCTGCCACCACCACATCTATTTTCTGTGATTTACATTCCATTTCTGCGGTACAGTTGATAACCATGGCTATGAACGCTAAGAAACCAACCTTACTGAAGAATGTTATTTATATCACTCTCTGTTGGCCTCGGCCTACTCACAGAAAGCCTCTTAGGATCC